GAGCAAGAGTGTGTTAGTGGGATGAAGGCCCCCCACACACACACACACACACACACACACACACACACACAACAATAGAAGTCAAGAAATACCATGCTAAACAAAGACAGGCATTGTTTTAAAGATGGGGGGTGTGAGACAGGACAAAGTTGAAGCTCCCACACTGCACAACACACACACACACACACAGACATGTACATTAATGTTCTTGATGTGTAAAAAGAGAAAAAAGGTGTTTTTGTTTCACTTCCTGACTGTTAGATGTCACAGGACTCGCCTTGACATTTAGGGACCGCCTGCAAGTGTGTTTTTTGTGACCTTGAAGACGCACTAAGGTCCGCCTGTGACTGCCTCAACACTTACTGTTCTCCACAATGTCGAAAGCCATTTCCTTAAGGAGTCCCGTCAGAATAAAAGGCTGAAGGACGTCCGCCCTTTTGACTCTCACGCTGCTTCTTCCTCCTTTGCGATCGGCCTCACCTCACTCGTAACTTCTCAAAGGGAAGGGTCGTTTGAACTACCCGGCGAAGGTCGTGACATCTGAGGGGACGGACGGGTGAAAAAGTTAGAAAAAAAAAAAAAAAAGGAGCGTCTTGGGAAATTTCAGGAATGTGTTTTGACGGTTTCCTGAGTTTATTTCGAGGTGAGGTTTCGTGAGGAAGTCGTTTTTTTCCAGTAAAATTGAAAGAAGAAATGACACCTCACACTCCTGAAGTTAAATGTGTTGAACAGTCCAACACTCATCCAAGTACATGATGGGCCGTACTAAATAAATCTTGAAGTATTTTTTAAATTCTATCAGAGTATGAAATATACAACTCAAAAAATGGCATAAGAGTTTGATTAATGGAGTTAAGTGATGTTTGGAGCCAATAAGGGGTTAACTTGCAGAATACTTATGACATGGAATTAAGAATGTGTAGTTCACTTTCCAGATTTAAATTTTTGTTTAAAAAAATGGGGTTTAACAAATATAAAAGGTCGGTTTGATTATTTTTTGTGAGTGTGACTTTTTGTTTGTTTCATTTGTTTTGTTTTGAAAGAAATTCTTGGAACAAATTTTGTTCTAATATGTTTTTTTTTTATAACCAAACTAGTCGTGTCTTAAATAATAAGATTCGTAACAAGGGTAGGTGTAATAAGCTAAAGCTTCAGCCTACACCTTTTTGGCCAAATTGTTTTTGTTTTTTTCTTGTGACTGAAATAAATTATGAAATATATATATATATGCTCTCCCTCAGACATTAGTGACATGTTCTGCCGTGTGGTTTAGTTGAGGGTTGATTAGTTTGCTTTTGGGGGGCGGTGTCAGGGAGAAACTTTAATTATTTCGTCAAGCTTAGTTTACATTTATTGCAGCACATCCTAGCCAGACATTGACTTCAAAAGATGCATAAACAGCATCGTGTACTGTAGTAAAGTAGTAGTTATTAGGGATGTTAAATTTTACTTCTGACTGCTCAAAGCACACCTACACATTCACACACTGAAGCAGAGGCTGCTATGTAAAGAGTCCTTCAGCATTAACTAACCCATTCACACACCGCTGACTCCAGCAACTGGAGCATGATGGAGTTAAGTGTCACATCCACATGTGCATGCAGGAGCTTGGGATTGAACCCTTGCCCTGCTGTTTAGCGATGACCAACTCAACCACTGACCCACAGCCGCCAAGGGGAGTAATGTCCTTGTCCGTTTAAGCTAAAAAAAATTCCAGTGTTTTTAAAGAAAATGGCTCCTTCTGTCTCCATATCACATTCCCCTCATGTCAGTGAATCATCAAAAGCAGAAATGTGGAGCTTCCCTTAAGCTGCAACTGAAACAAAAGTCAGATAAAAGTTCAACTTCAGTCTAAAATGCTGCTGACGTACCTTCTTTTGAGGCTGAAATGCAGATGGAACTTCTTCAACAGGTGAGCACTGACAAACATCCCACCAATTGAGGAGGAAAAATGACTTCCTGGTTCTTCTTTTTCTTCTTCTTTTCTGATTTAAGTTGGGTGGCAAACAGCTTTCAGGTGCATTACTTACCCCTACTGTGTTGGAGTTTGGACTCTTCCTGGTTGAAAGGTTGTTGATGTTCCTTTAACACATACAGTAATAATAATCAAAACTGGAATCCTGTAAGGTCTAGAAACATTTTTGTTAAATGTATTTTATCTTTTATACAAAACTCGAGTTTAATAAAAGACACTTAAATCTTTAATGAGGTCAATTAAAATGTCTTTGGAAGGAAACATCTGTAATTTGGGAATCGATAAGAACTATACTGTATATATTTTAGTGCCACTTTATTTTCCAAAGTTTAATACGAAGCCCATTGAATTTACATAGGAAACACGTTGTGACCTCACCCTTTGTTTGGTTTGTGGTTGTCCTTTTTGAAGCCTCCAGTTTGAGTTTTGGCTTTCATTATTTTTTCTGATGGAATTATTCAAGTAAGACGCATAGTTGTTTCTCATAGACTTCTATGAAGTTGGATTTCCTTAAGAAACCAATGGATTCGCCCCCTGCTGGCTACCCAAAATACATGTTAAGACATCTCGGTTACTTATATCTCCAGCATTTCGATGACTGTTTCGATGCTGTTTATTTGAATGTAAGGATGACTCCTTCTACACAATGAAATAAAGTCAATGTCTGAAAATACATTCACTTTTAAATCACATCATGCCAGTTTTCAAAATAAAGGTCAACATTAACAAATCAACCAATAATTACTGGGTTATGGGCTGTGTGATGAGCTCACTTTCCCTCCAAAATAAGTCTATAAGATTGTCAGATCTCTGGTGTTTCTGTTATAAGACATTCCCCGAGCACCACATCACTGTGCAGCTGTTGGAAACAGACGAGTGTGAGATAAACCGAAGGATGAGGTAAAGAGCAGACCACCCTCTCGTACCTGAGATCTGGACGACGTCACGTGTAGCATGTAGCTAACGGTGACTCAACTCCCCAGCAATTTGATGATTAGCATCTTGTTAAATTATATTGCTTTTTCCACTGAGCTGTTCAACTGCATTCCTAACTGCTAGTTAACACAACGACTAATGAGAGGAGCATGGCGTGTAAAATGACTTTACAGCCGTGTGTTTGTGGTTCATGAAACAATAGAGAAAAAAACGTAACTGCAAAGTCACACAATAGAAATGCATTGTAATCCCTAAGAACGGTGCGTGTAAAATACAGTGATTTTGTTCGATAGAAGTAAATTGTTGCCAGACATGTTGGATTTCCAAAAAACAAACAAAAAAAATATATATATTCATAAATTGGATTATCTGTATGAACAGACGACCTGCTATTAATGCAGAATTTTAAGATGGTTCGCTATCGTATGATTTATACCCAAATCATTGTGGTCAGATTTATAGGCTGAGTACTATTAACCAGTTACATTTGATTGGGAACTTGTAACCAACATGTTTGTGTTAAATATCGATTAAGATTTTAAAAATGTCTAGTGGGTAGCCAGCCTAACCAAGAAGGCGGGATATGAATTGAAACACCTGTGTTAGTGAGTTGCATAAGATTAAATGCAGACATTTCCACACAGGTGACCGCATGGTAAAATCCACCACTTTTTAATCAAATTTTGCCGCAAAGTTTGTCTTATTAAAAAAGTCCAACAACTTATTTGACCATGTAAGTTGCATGTTCCCACCACCGAATTCAGTCCACAGGAGCATTTCCCTTAACAAGACGATAGCAGGCAACACTTATTTGTGCACAACATGTTTGTACTAGACGAACAAAAAGGTGGAGGTTGTGAAGAAGATGAAGTTGGGTTTTAGGTAATACAACAAAATAACTTGGTTATGTGCCTGAAAAAGGTCTTGCCCTTGGTAAAAATTGGGTTGCTTTAACTCCATCCAAATACAAACAGTAGAAACGTTGAATTACTTATTTGGGTTTCCTTGCAAAAGTGCTGTGAAATATATACTCTACTCTCCTTCTCTGTCACTTTTGTTTGGACCATCCATCGTCCCTTTGACCATCGACCCATATGGATTTTTCTTCTTTGTTCTACATCACCTGATATTACCCATTTCCCTTAGAAAAGTCTCTTCAGATACTAGTTTTCCGTTGCTACCTAAAAACCAAATACGGCCATATTTTTGGTATCAGAAGTCTTAAAAATGTCAGACAGGCCTAATTTATTCTGAATTTGTAGCATAGAGATATGATTATTGGGGCACTTGAGGTAGAATATCTATTCTGGGTCTTTATCCATTATCAACTTACTAGTGTTGAAAAAGTTGTTTTTCTTCAAACATCTGGACCTGTTTTTTTCAGTTGATCTACTACAGTGGTGTCAATTATTCATTTTCTTTCAAATATTCACCGCAAAAAGTCGTGAAAACTTTGAGTTAGAAGCCTGACAGTGAACATCACCGCTTACTGACAGGCACCTTCATGGAGTCAAACCTGAGGCCTGGATTTACGCTCTGGACGGCCTCCGAGGTGTCAGCACAAGCTGTTTATGCACATCTGTACAAATGTGAGTATCAGTGTGTGTGCTGAGTGTTTGTAAGCTGATATCAGTCTGAGCTCTGGCAATGTGAAGGATAGACTCACAGTTACACATGGGACTACTGTGATTTTATTGTCTTCAACTGTTTGATGTTACACTCCTTTTTCGCCGCCATGTATGTGGTTGCTTGAGGTGATTATGATACAACTAGAATCCTGTTCGCCAGCCTGCCCTGAAGCCTTTTTCCATCACATCTGGTGAATGAGACACAGTTTGACCTCCACATGTTTCGAGGTTCCCCGGAAAAACACACACACTCCAAGAATGCACCGATGAACGTATGTTAGCTGTAAACAAAATATTTGCAGAGAAACTGCGTTTATTTCATCAGTGAGTAAGAGAAACATAGCCGAGAGGTGAGGATGGGAAGACAAAATAAGTGAGGAGAAGGGTTGTTGATGATGATGTCTATGTGATGAAGGGTCAAGGGTCAAGGAGAATGGTGAGGAAGAAGAACAAAAGAGAAATTAAAGGAATTGGAGCTAATGATTTTATTCCCACCAATATCTCAAGATCATGTTACTTGCTACCTAAAAAAAACATTCAAAACCTCAAATGAATCTTTTTCAGCTTCCCTTGTCTTCCGTGTCTTTAACCTTAGAGCATGCCAATAGTCAAAGCACAAAACAAAAATGCACTTTTAATTTTGAATTCTCATGTTGAAATCTCAGGAAAAAGCAATAACCTACACTTTTACTTTTTATAAAATATAAATGGATTTCTACAACATTAGAAAAATAAAGGATCCCTAATATCAATCCCTGTGGAACGCCAGATTGTTACAAAATACTGCTGTACTGATAAATGTTACCCTATTTAAAAATACAAATATTCATTCACTTTTTTGGACTTTCTAACTCTAAATTAATTAATTTTTTTTTTTTTGCTCAATGTTCGAATCAGCAGCTTCACAGATCCGAAAAAATGGTTCAATTTCAATGAGAAAGAAATCAGAGTGGGACATTTGCAGCTGCAGTGTGAACAAAGCCAAAGAACACAAAACGTGTGACATAGGAAGAGATAAGGAGTGAAACTACTGGAGGAGTTTCAAATAGAGGGAGGTCAGAGCAGGGTGAGGAGGAGAAGACGTGTGTTTGGAGAGGGGGAAGGAAGAGGAGGAAGACAGTGAAGGTCAAAGAAAATGAGAGGGAGCTGGAGGACCACACACACACTCTCTGTGGTCAGAGGTTCACCTGCAGTTCACATTGACCGTAACAACACCCCTGAGAAAGAGAGGAGAAGGGGGGAATGAAAGAGCAAAAAAGTGAAGGGAAAAAGTGAGAGATTAGGGGATGGGAGAGATGCGGTATCAGGAGAGAAGGATGAGTGGAAGGAGGAGATGGAGGGAGGAAAAGAGGGAGAGGTGGGAAGGCAAAGTAATAATTTAGGGCTGTTGGAGCTCAGGAGAGGAATCGGTCAAATTAAAGTTTTCAGTTTGACTTCTGCAGACGCAGCAGGTTCGCATCAAGGTCAGTGAATGAAGTACACGTATGCTGGACTTTAATTTGATCTTTTCCTTTGATAATAAATCTTTAAATAAAAGTGTTATAATGTATGTTTATGTCCTGATTTTACCGATACTGGTTTCCCATTGAGTTTTTAAGTCAAACTGTTTCACATGGTAGCAAGGACTTAAGGGATAAAGTTTGTCTAAGTCATGCCTTGAAGGTTTGTTTCTAGTCATACCAGTTTTATCCTGTTTAAAGCTCCTGTGAGGAGTTTTTACCTGGTTATGAAACAGATCAGCGCTTGTCGTGGAAACGGGAGCATTGGCTATAGTGGTAGGAAACGGCGCTGTAGTGGACAGTGCTGACAGACCACGGCGAGAGCTGACTGTGGAAATTGGCAGTAACAGCACACTGGAGAAGCGAAAATATTGGGGCCTGAGGCAAAAAAAAGTTCACAGGGAGCCCCTAAACCCAGCATTCATCGCCATTATGTTACAAGTAATCCATCAGTAAAATTATAAGACATACTGCTTTGCCCACGGGGGGTGCCAAACTCGGTTCCTCACAGGTACCTACACTTCTTATCATGAGAAGACAAAAACACCACACATCAGAAATGCAGTTTTATTGATAATACTGACCCATAATGCAGTGCACACAGTATTGCTCTTTGATATGAAGAAACAAGTTTAGAATACATTCAGTCTGTATCTTCCACAAAAACAATATCATCTATACTCCCAGTCATGATCAAAAAAAAAACATTCACAGAACAAGGGTGGATTTTGAACCAGTTCCACTGAAACAGAGTCCGAACTTTTTTTTTCCAGTCACTGCAGTTTTTTTTGGCATCTTGAGTTTATTACAGTCAGCAACAGGAGGATACTTTTGTTTAAAGCCGAAGCACAGTGCAGGATAATCCCAGAGAGCAAACCTTTTTACAATTTTACACACATAAACCAGCGTTGAAGTTGTCCATTTTTTAGGGACCCCCATGAATCCAATCAGAAAATAAAATCACATGGGGCTGATAAAAATGAAAACCAATTTTAATTGGATTCGAACCCAGGCAGCACGCTTCAAGGACAACAGCCTCTGTACATAGGATGCGCAAACTAACCACTAGGCCACTGGAGCCCCATCGCTGGACTACTTCTTGACCAATTGCACCCACTTCCTGAAGTTTCTCCTGCTTTATAGATGAATAAAGCCGAGAGAGGCAGGCTAGCTCTTGACCAACGTTTACAGTCTGTATACGAAGCTAAGCTAACTAGCTTCTGGCTAAAGGCATGTTATGTTTACTGACCGGACTAATAATAGGCAAACAAAGTGCTAAGTTAAAGCTAATACATCTGCAGTATGAAGGCATCTCAAGGCTTTTTTTGGGAACAATAAAACAAGAACTGAAACATTCATTGACGGTAGGATTGTCTTGTGTCAGTGTGGCCAGTGTGTTTACATCAGCAGGATGGTTAAAGCTCTTTCAAATACATACAACTATTTCAGATACTAACGCAACATATACTACTGATAATAACACAACAAATAATGTATTTTCTAAATCTGTATACACTTTCAAAAAAATGGTGATATAGTGATCAACTCTGGCAATAATCCTGAAATAAATCCAAACCATTTCACCATTTTTAAAATATATTTACAATTTGCATGAAGGCCATGGCTACAATGTTAGCATCTTATGCTATCAGGTATGTCCACTTTATTAGTCGTCTGACTAAAAACGAAGGTACAATTTAACTAGGACAATAAGTTTGTCCTGCCGTATTTTCCATCGTCTTTTCCTTCAGTGCATTATACATATTTCCTGATCAAGCTGAACCATTGTCGAGTCATACTGCCACATATTGGAGGTTTTAAGTATGACATAAAAAAAAAATTAATGCACCCTAGTAAGAGGAGTTTTCTTCCTTTTCATTCTCGGAAATTTTAAACAGCAGTTTTAATTCATATTCTGTTACAGGTGAGAAGGAGGTCTCCAAGCAGGGGCGTGTCCACACTTTTTTTGAGTGGGGTGGCCCAGTGGAGGGCACTGACAATGAATATGGCTATAGTTTAAGGTTTACTTAGGGTTGGCATCTGGGGTGGCCAATTTCAAGGGGGGCCAACGCTGGACCAAGCATCCAAGCAAAAATACGTTGGGATTACTTTGGAGAAACAAGGCTACACTTCACTGGAATAAAAAAACGTAAAAATGCAACGTTTTTATGGGTACAAGGAGACAAATGTTGTCATCTGAAAGTGAGTAACTTCCCCTTCTTCTTAACACCAAAGGAGCTACATCACTGGGGCTAAACCCTCTCTGACCTGGCAGGATTGCAGGTTGCCAAAACACCGTCCAATAAATTACCAGCCTCTGAGTCCATGAAACTTTTGTGTTAACAAGGCCTGGGTGGTAAATATAATCGGCTGGTGTGAACTCAAAACTCGACTCAAAACGGGACAAAGTCATAATTTCCACTGTGGTGCGACGCAAAGCAATTGAACTGAACATGTGAACGCACCGGACAGCAAACTTACAAACTCATGTCTTTAGACTTCAGAGGAAAAAAAGACGATGCTGACATTAGAGTTCAGTATTCATCTCGCTCTCTTCCCTTTTCTCATCATTTTTTCCGGTTTAGTTTTTGTTTTCTGTCTCAGTCAGCACGAGCTACACAAAGATCAAAAGACCCGAACATACACAATGGTGACCCCACAAACACATAATGTACATCAGGAAATCCTGAAGAATCTGCGTAAACAACTCCCTCTCCTTTTACCTTTCCTGGTCTGACCTTAACACACTTTTTAACAAATGTCTGCACAAATCTTCTCAAACACACACAAACACACACAGAAAAGGAGAACGCACAGGCTAGCATGCATGACTCCAGTTTGTTAGGCACAGTGTGTGTGTGTGTGTGTGTGTGGGTCCTTATCGGCGAACATCGATCTCTCTAAAAACACACTTTGCACTAATAAAGCTCAACATCAACACGAGCAAATCCTCGACTTAACCCGCTGAACCCTGAGAGAGTGCTGAAAGACTGAGGAGCTGGGGGAGAAGGGGGGGGGATCATGAGGCGGAGGAGAATGAAGGGGAAAAGAAAGACTACGAGGAGAACAGGAGGAATATAAGTTAGGATGGAGATATACTTTTTCTTTTAGTCCAATGTGTACGTGCTCGACTGACTGCGTCTTGAATGTATTTGACCGAATGCATTAGGTGTGATACTGGAGGATACCACTAGAGGGCACACTAGAGAGCTCAGGCCGTATGAAACTACACAATACGAGAATTCAAACTTAGCTGTGACACTAGTAAAAATTAAACTCTTTGGATACCATCACGACCAAAACGTCCTAAAAAAAAGAAGTCCTATGAAGCCAACATTGAGTCATTTTCTTGTTATTTACTTTTTTTAAAAAGTTGCACAAATATGTTGGCAATGTTTCGCTTTTGGTTTCAAATAAAGAAAGGGACAAGATGCAGCATTCATGTGCATGCAAATGTGTAGTCAAAGGGAAGTATATCTCAAAGCTAAAGGGGAAAAACTAAGGATGAAAACAATTATATGCAGGAGGATGTAAAGAACAGAGTGAAGGGGAGGGATGGAGAAAGAAGTAGATCAGGAAAGATGGAGGAAGAGGAGGAAGAAAGAGGGGAGGGAAAAGTAGGAAGAAGAAAAGTGAAGAGCTAGGTGAGAGGAGGGAAGGAGACTGCGGAGAAAAGGAGGAAAGACGGTGGCAAAGTCAAGTGAAGGAGAGGAAAGGAGGAAGGAGAAGAGAAGGAGGTACATACAGGAAAGGACAAAAGTGGAGGAGCTGAGGCTCAGGAGGAAGAGAAGAAGAAGAAGCTCAACAGAAAGAATATCTGAGCCGTGTAACAATCAATCCTGTCTGAAAACATACAGCTAAGACGTCTGATTGCACTTGAACGCAGCACAGCATGATTGTTAACAGTAAAAGGAAAATCAAAGAGAGCAGACTCGTGCTTTTTTTAAATTCCTTTTCACAGAGTTTTTTTAAAGCGATAAAGTTTTGTAAAGCACTCCCTCACCGCTGCCTGACCCGTTGCAGACACAGCAGGAGGTAAAGAGATCAGACGACAACATCACAACCTTTGATTCCGCGCTTCCCGCTTGTTCCAACATGGCCCTTCTTCTCTGCATGAGGGCGGACGAGATGGAGAGAGGGATGAAAGAGGTGACGCAGGGATGACGACGAGGCGGGCGACAACCTGCTGGGATCTGATGGTGAGTTCATGTACGCGTTCGCTACGGTAAAAACAGGAGTTTGTGATGAGTGGAGACGCACAGATCTGACGGGGAAAGGCACAAAATGGACACAACACACAAATTTGAGGCGTTTGTGAACCTCGGGCGCCAAAGCAAGTAGACTTATCTTCACACACACAGTCTGAGGGAGGTCACAAGTTCACCGCTGCGGCAGAGCACTCTGAACGACCTCAGCGGCGTGACGTAAATCATAAAAAAAAAAAAAGACTTAAAGGGAGAGTATCGGTTAAATTTCGCCTTGTTTGATTGGTAGAACTCGACGTCATTTGTCTTTTTTTTCAGCTTCTTTTTGGTTTCTTTTTTTCCCCGTTTCCTCCATCATCACTCGGATGCCTTCGCTGGTCCGAATGGTCCGACCATTTTCATGGCTGCGTAGTTCTGTAAGGGTAGAAGAAAGAAAACGTCAGAAAATAAAAGAAGACATAACCAAACACTTTATTCCTCTTATATAACATTTCGAACATGCATTTTTCTTTTTTCTTAATCCTTCTTCTCTGACTTTTGTTTTATGACTGATATTGTACTTTCAAAATGATCAGGCAAAACCTTTTCCACTTGTCCAAATCAAAACCTTGCAATTTTTTTTACTTTATTTATTTTGTCATTTTCATTTAACTTTAAGTTTTACACATTTTAGTCCGCCTTGCACTGTCTTTGCTGCTCCTGTTATTTGTTATTTGAATTTGAAATGTCTTTCTCTGATTTTTAAAGCTTCCAGCAATACGATAAACTAAAATGTTCATGTAAAATTCCTCTAAAGGCCAAAAATATGCAAACAATAGAAATGTTAGAAATCTGAGTTAACATTTAATTGTGGAAGCAAAAAAATTAGTAAGTCAATTTTAATCTTTCCCTCCGTCCACACACTGTGGCAGTTTCAAACACACACATACATGCACACAAAAAGACCAAAACTTGCCGGGAAGGAGTAGAGGAAGACGCCGAGGAAGAGGAAGATGAAGAAGAGGATGATGAAGAGGATGATGAACCACTTGAACCTCCTCCACAGGATGAACCGGAGGGTTTTATAAGGAGAGGAGAACCACAGGAAGGAAGTGTCCGGACGTCTGGGAGGACAGAGGAGGGTAAGGAACCGTGTATTTTATGTATATGTGTGTGTGTCTGTGTGTGTTTGTTTGTATGACTTACTGGGGCTCCTCCAGGTGAGGGTTCATGTTGGGTTCGTCTCTGCCGTTTCCCGCCGGCCTCTCCTCGTTCTCCTGCTCCGTCACGATCTCCAGAGACATCTCCACTTTGCCCTGAAACACATCAAGAAGAAATCAAATATGAGCAAGAAGTTTGTTGACAACTGTTAAATTACAGTTTCTTATCTTACTGGTTTTATGTAGCCTCAACATAAAAGTCTATTTCTAGTCAGTCAGTCGTCTCTCATTGTCACACTTAACTTTTTGTTGTATAATCCTTTATTGAAGATTAAAGGAGCAATGTATGTAAATGACCCCTCGTGTTTAAGATGGGTACTGCAGTCCAAATCCCCCCCCCCCCTCTCTAGAGTCCATGCTCACTCAGGTCACCATGTGGTGGACTCTGAAGCTTCAGTGTTTATCCAGCTCTGCATGGGTCTGTAAACCTTTCTGTGTTCTAACCTCTCTCCATTTTTCAAAAGCATCTCCAATATTGATCCTAGTTTGAGCACGTTTCTGCTCGTGGAGCTTATTAGAAACATGCAGAGGCTTTTTAGGTCGGGTACAATCACTTCTATCTGAACCACTTCTCTTGCCTACTTCTATCATGGGGGAATTTAACACTTCAAATTAGAGCAGATTTAGAATGTATCTGTTTGTGTGTAAAGCATGTTTGTGTTTCCTCACAGCGATGATCTTCTCTCCATTCTGCTCACACATGCAGGGCCACCATCCTTTGACTGTCTTCTGTTCAAACAGAGAAACCAGCTTGTCCGTTGGCTGATCCAGCAGCTGCAAGGTGCATTTCTCTGGCGACTTGGCTGGACGCAGCATGTGGTTCAGGTCCATCACCAGGTGACCTGGAGACACATTAAGATAACATTTACACACTGCAGGGTCATCGGATAAGAAACATGCATTTGTCAGCCACTAAAGTGTAAAGCTTACTGTAAAAAACAGTTTCTGTATTGAGGTTGAGGCAATGAGGTTGCGCACCTCAAAGGCAGGGAGGAAGGAGCAGCTGTCTACATCATTTAAGAAATCTCCAACCTTCCTGATCAGCGCCTTGGGAGCCCCAACCATAAGCTCAGTTTTAGTGTTGTTTAGCTCAAGAAATTGATTGACATCCAGGGTTTGATGTCATTCAGGCAGTTGACCAGGCATGGAAATTAAGACTGTGTTGGAGGATGATGTGACTGAAGGGGAGTATGTAAATGATGAAGAAGAGGGGTCCAAGCATGGAGCCTTGAGGCACACCATGATGGCTGGGACTGAGGGGGAGCGGGAGTTGCCAATTGCGAAGGACTGATTTCTGTTTGGGGGTGGGGGCAGGTCACTGAAGTGGGAAGGGGCCTGGTTGTTGAGGGTCTTTGAAAGTAAAGAGAAGGACTTTGAGTTGTATTTGTTGGAGAACTGGGAGCCAGTGGAGGATCTGGAGGACAGGGGTGATAGTGGTCGCCGGAGTGGATCTGTGTAAGTAAATATTCAGCAAAGTTTTGGATGGATGGAAGTTTATTGAGGACTTTGGATGATGAACTATGTAGAAGGATGTTGTGGTAGTCAAATCTGGGTGAGATGAATGTGTGGATTAGGGGGATGGGCAGTAGAGAAGTAACAGGTTGAGACTGAATACTGTACAGAGAGGCCATATTAGGCTAAAAGAGGGTTTTATTGTAGGTTGTTAAATATTAGTCTTCAGTTACGTTTGGGAAACCTAAGTAAAGCAGCATTATGGATAATCCTGCTGTGAAGTTTGGTGGGTTAAACATTGATCTTTGTTGACATTCAGTATGGACGGGTTGTGTATCAGTGAGAGCCTAAATGTCCACATGAAGTGTTTTTCCAGAGTTTTCCTCAGTCTGACAGTGTGATGGAAGAAAAAAACGGCTCGTGTCTGACCCAGGAACATTAACAGTCAGCGGTCCGAGCTGACGAGCTGAAGACAGGCAGGAATGGAAGAAATGCTTTGAGGCGGCCACTCGCCCGCCGACTGCACGAGGCGAGAGAAACCCTCGAGGTGAGGGAAAAAAACGGCGCGGCCGAGCGAGATGGTGACAGACAGGAACGGATCAGAGTCTGGATTCCTCATCTTCCTCCTCCTGCTCTCACACCGCAAGCTGCAAGCCTGCAGACGGTCACCCTCCCGTCATTGGCGAGGAAAGAGAAGATGAAATGAGGCAGGAGGGGAGAGAAAGAGGAGAGGCGCGGCGCGGTGAGTTATTTCAGGGGATGAGGCCGGCTAGGGCAGCGTCAGGGGTGAAGGAGAGGCAGAATTTTGACAGCTTGAGCTCAGGAGAAGAAAAAATATAACGGAGCCCTTCCTCTCTCTGAAATGTGCCAACACAGCGGAAATGAAAGAGCGTTAATTCTAAAGATAAATGTTATCGCAGTAGTTTGTCTCGACGCACATCGCACATGTGGTTCTGGATGGATTTACCACCGAAACACAGGCCAAAGTGCAAAGTGAAAAACTGTCTGAGTGTCAGCAACACAGTTGAATTAACTAAATCTCTACACCTAAAGGCTTTTATGTACACCTCTGACTGACTTCAGGAGGTATTAATCTTGGGAAATATGGCTCCATTTCCAGTAAGCCTTTTGTTTCTCCAGTGTAAATTTAGATTGAAGACAGTTCTCTGGGCCTTTTCTGTTGACCTGAACTGTTATTGTAGTAAATTTGATGAAAAGTTTTACATGTTTTTGTTAAAAATTTAACTCGACAGCTCAAATATCTAGTCCAATACGATCCAAAAAAATCTACTTTTATTGTATTTTTCTGGGAAATACTGTAACCAAACCTGTGAAAATACATTTATTAGCCAATGAAATTATCATTGATGTTGTGAGACATTTTCTAACCCCACCAGAGAAGCTGCATTTCTTACCTTAAGAACTGGTCTACACACAGACGGGTATTTTTTTAAAAAGTAGCCTTTAGTACGAAAATTGCGTTTTAGGTCACTGAAAGCGTACATTTTGGAAAACTCATTCCAGAGTGACATTTCCAGAAACTCTGTTTGCAACGTCACACTTCTGCGCAGGTATCTCCTCCATTTGACATCACTGTGCGACGCTGTCATACGCTGCTTACTTGAGATACGCTGGCGCTAACGTTGTTAACTGGAATTTTTACACGCTCACACATAAATACACAGTTACTCTCCCACGAAGTTGACGAGCAGAGACGTCTGAATGGACTACAGAGGTCACTGCTGCTTCAAACAACACTCCAACGACAAAAACCCAGCCGCCAACGTTGGTGGTTTTGGCCGAAACCCGCTCTGACTTGGGTTGGGTTGGTGGGAGAGCTTTAAAAATGAAATGGTCATCGCAGAGAAATGGGGAGAAAACCTTCACATGTCAAGGACATTGACGTTGACTTGGCGTGCTTATGACAGCTGTAACTGTGCGCTTGTGTACGGGATTCTTTTTTTTTTTTAAACAGAGGAAAACCTCCAAACCCTCCAAAAAATACCAGTTTAGGCTTATGACTGCATGTAGTCAGTGCATTGATTTACCAACACTGTCAACATGAAGAAAGTTGACGAATGGAAAACTTTACAAGAGTCTGAAGAGACATATCAGGAAACACACGCTCGGAGCTCAGTGTTTTACCGAGGTAGTCGTCGAAGGAGAACTTGTCGTTGTCCCAGACCTGGATAGTGAGTCGAGGAGCAACTTTAGTCTCGGCTTTATCCAAACTCCAGAAGTTTTCCTGCAGACACACACAGAGGGAAATAAAAAAAGGATTATAAAAGAGAAAAAGGTTTGGTTTTGCAGTCTTTCTAGGGGGTCTTAATAACTCATAAAAAAACAGAAACTAGGAAGGACGGTATTCCAAAAATGAGCATGACCTTTCAAAATACAAAAGTTATTCCAACGGCAAAAGCCTAAGACGTCAAAGGCGATGTTGTGGTTGAAGTTTTAAGCTAAGATGTTTACCTGCGTTTTATACCGTTTCAGTGCCCTCATGTACATTAACAGGCAACCCACTTGGCCCTGAGTATCGCTGCTGCTTTTGAACTGCTTATCTGACTGACTTTAAACTGGTCACTGAGCTCCCTTTGGACATCAGTCAAACACCCACCAAATGCTGAGTCAATCGAGCACTTTAGGGTCTGATACCGTCCTCAAATATGCAGGCAGTGAAAGAGACACAAAAGACAAAAGAGGCTCTTAAGATTGTGTTTTGAGTCTCCTCTCAGTGCAGACTTTTACCACTCTGCAGCTGTGTGTATGTGTGTGTTCGTACACACACATCTATGTAAGTGTAACTGTGTGTGTGTGTGTTAGCCCTATTATCACCTCTGGTAGACTCGCACCAGTTTGGCAGACAGTATCTGATCCTGTCTCACCTCTGTGCTAATGCTCTCTCTCTCTTTCTTTCCATTCTCTCACTCGTCCTTTCTATCTTGCTGTCACACTCTCCAGCTGCTGTTGTTGCTAAAAATTCAGCGTTTTTTTTTGGGGGGGGGGGGGGGGGGTTACACCTGAAATAAAATGGTTCTCCTGGAATTCGTAGCAAATGTCAATACATCTCTGTAACTTTTCTAGAAACACTTGATGAGGGGATTTTCCACAAAACTAGAAGCTACAAGTCAAACTTCACACCGCAGATGCCTGAATTTCCCTTTTTCTGACTTCTGTGGACGTTCATGAGGAAAGTGTTTTTACAGCCTTTTCGCTCTACTTTTTCTTCGTTTTTCTTTTAGTGATATCAAAGTATCTGCTCATGCTCGTTGGATGAATCTTAAGTGTAGTGATTCTTAATCTTGTCTTTTCCTCTTGGGATTGGTCTCATCCATCCTTTTCCCAATATTTTCCACCAAGAGGTCCAGTTCAGTTCAGTTCGGTCCAGTACACGATTATTGGTGTTTCCATTGTCAAAAGTTGGGAATGGTACCATAACAACTGATCCGTAATGTCCTTCTTTGTTGCTACACTTCTATTGGGGTGCCACGTCTACCAAACCGAACCTAAAGGGTGTCAGGGTATTTTGGCTTCACTTTGGTACAACAGAAGGAGATGGAGTCTCGTTGTCCATCTTTATGTACACTCAATGATTGGGACTGAGAACAGACCGATGCTTCATGCGCTGCACTGTCCTTTTGATGCACCCGAGACTTTTTCCACAGAAGTCTGGGACTCAGTTTTTTCCCGATCTTCCTCTGAATATTGCTTTCAAAACGTCAGTGATTTTTGGGGGAACAAAAACTCTTTTTACACACTGTCAGGTTTGGCTCGACGACACATCACATTACAACCAAATGACAAACGACTCGTCTCTGTTGTCACCGTTATGACTTCACACTGACTCTCTACATCTGAGTCTAAATCCTCACCATGCTCTCACACTTCATAACAACACACTCAAACAATGACGGTAAACACACTAAACCCTGTGTGTGTGTGTGTGTGTGTGTGTGTGTCTGCTAGAGCACGTACACGTCAGTGAGAGTGTTTCTGGCTCACTTTATCCACAAACTCTGTCCAAGCACATTAAGATATCACTCCACAGCTGTCACAAGCCGGGGCGTGATTAGACGGGTGTGTGCTTATGTGTGTGTGTGTGTAACCACTCTCTGTAATATCTAACGACATCAATCAGCTTCCTTTTTGTTGCCAGCGTGCTAAGTAGAGAGTCCTGTTCGGTCCTCTCCTTCATTTCCTCCCTTACTCCCTCCAGCAGCATTGCTGCTTGGGCCCCCAGGCCAGTACGGGGCCCCCCCAAGGGCTGACAAACCTTATACCACAGCATGGGCTCAAACAGCGAGAGGGTTCCTGGTTCAATTCCCCGTCTGACAGGAGACATGCTCGTTAGGTTAACTGGTGACTCTACAATACCCGTTGGTGTAAAACTGAGTGTGGCTGGCTGTCTGTCTCTATATGTCAGCCCTCTGATTGGCTGGTGAACAGTCAAGGGTGTAACCACGCCTCTCGCCCAATGACAGCTGGGATCGTCTCCCGCAACCCCTGAACGAGAAACGTGGTATGGAAGATGGATGGATGTTCCGAACTTGCTTTTAAAAATCTTCTGTCTGATCTTGCGAGTTGGTTACGAGTTGGTGTCAAAATAACAAAAAATGGTGAACGCCAAAATAATGGAATGAAAGTGAAGTGAAAATAATTCCTCAAAAGTTTTCAAAATGATGGTTTCCAAACCCTGAGATGCCTTCTTTTTTTTTTACAAAATATGTACGAATACGCCTAAAAAAACACGACTGTCTGAGGATCAAAGTAAGAAGAGAAGTAAAAGCATCATTAAAATAAAAAAGAAATCCGAATTCTGGGCTGGATCCAAACCAATAAAGACAACACGTGCGAGTGTTGATAGAGCTGTTGATCAGTCGCTGCAGTGACTCAGTCATTATATCACCAACCACAAAGTCTTCTGGCTTCATAAACTCCGTATCTGGCCGCTGCTCCGTGCTGGGAGAGAAACTTCTCCACCCGGCAGCAGAAGTTTTATTTTTATTTTTGTTATTTAAAACTCCCTCTCGTCTTCTTCGGCCGCTCGCTGATTGAGGATGCTGCTACGAGGAGTGGGACGCCATCGTAAAACATGTCGGCTGCAGGCGGCTAAAGAGGCTCGCTTTCACGCCAAGGAAAGCAAATGACAGCCGTGTTGTTATTCCAGTTTTCTTCAGCGTGATGTTATTTTATGGTTTCTTCGCATCAGACTGAGGGAAATTAAAAAGTGCACTCCTCTTCCCTGTAAAAACTTCACTTCACTTCTCTTTTTCTTTTTTTTTTTGGTTAATCGCCGCTGTAGATCAGTCTCCCGACGTCTTTATTCTCTCTACTCTCTGACATGATCTGTTCATTTAGAAATCAATATATCAATATTTTACTCCAGGAATAAGAGATGCATGCTAAATGACATTCGGTTTTATATAATAATTATCTGTGTGTTGATTTGAGGGATTGAAGGGTTTGAGTCAAAGACAATGGAGCACATTTTGTGGGGTGCAATGAAGAATGTTTTTAAAGGCAGGGTTGGTCATTTTCCTCCAGATCCACTTTTTAAGATTTTGGTTGAAATTGCCGTTGAAATTAATAACTCATGTGCTCTGAAAAAGGAACAAAGAAAAGCCATCATCTGTAGCAGTTGTAATCCTGTAAAAACTTCCACCAATGTCTGCCACGAGGTACCAATCTGATGAACCAATCAGACGCCTCCCTGTCTCCCTGCTCACTCTCTACACTCAAAGTGCGTCACCGATGACTTTAGGAGTTTATACTGTGAGTTTACTTACCGCTGAATGAGACATGAGATGACGTAGTTTCTACATGATGCAAGCGATGAGCCGAGGTCCGCTTCTGGAGCGACGGCGCTCGTGCATGTAAGTGAGGGGGCGTGGCTTTTGCAGATGGAGCACTGAGGGAATGCTACTGTCAAAAATCATGCTAGTTTTCCAAAATGACCAACCCTGCCTTTAAGGCTCTGTAGTCCCCTAAATATCAGAAAATTAAGTATTTTTAAAAGGGGGACTATTTTTAGCGGTGGATTAATGCAGCTAACATATTGAGGAGCAGGATCATTTATTTGTGTTTGAGATTTAAAGTAAGTATAGTGTCTGGTTTTGATGGCACACATGGCAACATATTGTGCTGAAAAAAATATATATTTACGTTGCAGTTCCTAAATAGGCCACTAGAGGCTGGCTCCCAAAAGGAGTCAATCCCCATAGAGTTCCATGTTGAAGCGTTTAACTTTAAGAGCAGATTTAAACATGCTGAAAAACCGCTTCAGCCCATTTAGGTTATTTTTCTTTTCATTACAATTACAGGGCTGATTTCTGATATAACGAACCCATCGAAGACTTCTCAACACAAATGTCTTGCAAGGCTCAAATTAGCAACCCACCGCACCGGCGCCCGACCCATTAATTGAGAAGCCCTGGCAGCCAGCCTTAGCTCCATGTTGCTGCTGTAGAGTTACTGATCGTGTACGTATCCTCACCTTCCTGTCGACCACACAGAGCTGCTCGGCTGGTAAATAGCGGAACGGGAACAGGAATCTGTAGTTGAAGTTTCCCTCGCCGCCCAGCGAGCGGTAGTGGACGTCCGTCTTCAGCTTGTTGTGTTCGTGTCCGTCGAGCCATCTGACAGAGTTTCAAATTCAAACAAGACACTCAGGTTTCTTTGCTCTGCGTCAAAGCATCAGTCATGACAATCAAACTGCTCGTACCCTTTCACGTAGATGTCGCTCATTTTCTCGCCGGTGATGCTGACATCGTCCAGGATGACATCACTGGTGTTCCAGATGATGCAGCGCAGGAAGAACCTGAACGAGAATATTCATCACTACTTTTGATGATTGATGATTATTTTAATGATTCATCACACAGGATTATTATCTGTCGTCTTACTTCTTAGCTTTGCGCGGTGTGACGTTGAACGGGGGTCCCGGCGGTCCCAGGGACTTGGGGAACAGGTCCACCCACATCATCAGACGCCCCTGACGGACAGCAAGAACAACCAATCAGAAGGCAGAAATGTAGACAGAAGAAATTCAACATAAAAAATTGCTTAAAAAAGATTTGTTTTAAATCACACAGAGTGTTTGTTACCTGCTCTATTTCCGGCTGCAGAGGGCTGTACAGAGTTCTGGTCTCAACGTGTTCAGGTACTAATCCTATTTTCCTCAAGATGTGCAGCGACAGACGCTCCTTAATGGGACCGAGGTGACGCTTGCAAACATTTTTGTCCTCTGAAAACACACAGAGACACACACCGACAGAGGTTTTATTGAAGGTGAGAAAACGTTTAAATGACTCAAAGCTGAGAGAGTGAAGGATGGAGGAATACTGGGTGGACTGGGAGAAGAATACACAGGATTCATTTATTATTCACACACACACACACACACACACACACACACACACACACACTGTAAACTGCTCATTGATGTCTGCATAACATCTGAGTGAGGAAAATCAATATACCTGTGAGAGGAGAGGAAGCGGAGTGGAGGGTAAGACTTAGGGAGAAGGAAAAGGAGGAGAGGAGAGGAGGAAAGGGGGAGACTTAGGAAAGGAGGAAAGGAGGAGAGGAGGGAAGGGGGAGACTTAGGAGAGGAGGAAAGGAGGAGGGAAGGGGAAGATGTAGGAGAGGAGGAAAGGAGGAGAGGAGGGAAGGGGAAGATGTAGGAGATGAGGAAAAGGAGGAGAGATGGGGAAGACTTAGGAGAGATGGGGAGGGGAAGAATTGGGGGAGGAGGTAAGGAGGGAGGGAAATTAGAGAATGAAAGAGGAAAGAGGTGAAGGAAAAAGGCAAAGAGAGGTAGGAGATAAAGAAGGAGCACGGCAAAGAAGATAAAAGGGCTGAGGAAGAGATAAGGGAAGTTGGAAAAAAAAAGAGTGGCTATAAAGAAGAGAATACAGAAAAGATCAAACATACATTCAGAGAAACTGAAGAGGAAGAAGAGGAAGAAATAGGAAAAAGGAGAGGGGAGCAGAAGATACAAGTCGAGGAGGTTGATGGAAAGAAGGGTTGAAGAAAAAAAGGGGGAAGGGAAAGCAGAAAGAGACAAAAAGAGGAGAAAAGAAGAAGGGAGAGAAAAAACTCAGAGATAGAGGAGAAAAAGTCCCAAACTTGGAGGTAGAGGAGGAAGAGGAGCGTGTCCTCTTGGCCAATTAGCATCCTTGTTTTGACGGACAGCATGGCTGACGCATGGTAACCGCGGCAACTGTGGAAAGAGAACGCTGCAGTGCTTCACGCTGAGCGAGAAGGCGACCACGATGTTGACGTTGGCTCGCACGTACGCACATACACACATAAAGTCTTTTAAAAGGACAACTATGACCTTCATCTACGGAACATATCTGTCTGTGTGTGTGTGTGTGTGTGTGTGTGTGTGTGTGTGTGTGTGTGTGTGTGTGTATGTGTGTGAATCTTTTCAGGGTGTCCTGAAGTTCAACTCGCTTTTTAGGTCAGATACAATCACTTCTATCTGAACCACTTCTCCTGCCCGCTTCCATCGCTGCAACACCTGTTGACCTGATAACTGCTCTCATATCTGGCAAACTGAGGGGTGTCCAAAACGGCTTTATAAGGAATGTTTTAACCCCCCCCCCCCCCCCATCTGTCACTCACCGAGGTCTGCAGCGGTGTACTGGTCTCCTCTGAAGTGAACCACGTCTTCCTGGTAGACAGGCTTTGGCAGGTTTCTCCGCTCACACACTCTCATCAGCAGCTGTCGAGGTGTCAGCTGGTCTCTCCACTGGTTTACTCCGGATCTGATGGGCGAGAGACATAGAAAGAGAGTGTGTGAGAGAGAGAGACTTCAGTACTCAGAAAACTGGTTTAACTTGCTAACTAAGTAGAAACAAGTTGAATTTGTTTCCAACATAAAAAAAACATACTTAAAACTTTTGAGGGAAGGAGTCAATCCCCATAGAGTTCCATGTTGCAGTGTTTAACTTTAAGAGCAGATTTAAACATGCTGAAAAACTGGTTTAACTTGCTAACTAAGCAGAAACAAGTTGAATTTGTTTCCAACATAAAAAAAACATACTTAAAACAATATTAAAAAAGTGTAAGCCACGCCTCCATCTGATGCAATGTTTGGAATAATTGAACCTTCATAAACAGGGTACATAGTAGGATTTATGTTTAAAGATTTTACTGACACGCAGTAGGACTGCGGCAGGCCACACATGGCTCCATATTTGGACAGGAAGCGGTTCTCCAGGTCGATGACCGTCTCGCCGATCTTCTCGTCTTTGGACAGCATGTCGTGGTCGTACAGCATCACCCGGAGGTCCTTCTCCAGAGGGAGGGAGCAGGAGAGCTCGAACATCCTGGAGAACACAAAAAAAAACGACAACAAAAGAGGCCAAAAATGTCAGAGATCTGGCCCAACATTTCAGCGATCCCATCCGGCATCTGACTGTGTTTAAAGGAGCAATATGTAACTATGACACCTAGTGTTTAAAACGGGTACTGTAGTTAAAAATTCAAAACATTAGAGAGAGCTGAGGAGCATGCTGAACAAACAGAAGACAAGAAACACAAGGACAACATCACAGCTGTCCCAAGAGTCGGCCTCTAGTTGGACACTTACATGCTAACCTCAATTATTTAAATTGCACCTTTAATGTTTGCACTGACTGTTATTGTCTGTTTTTTGATCATTTTCTTCTTTTTAAACATTGCTAAAAATGTTTGCTTCATCTAGGGGTATTCTTAAATATTTTTTTCGGGTTAATATATATGTATGGGGGGGGCGTCGGTTTTGTGGTTAATTTGTAACAAATGTTTCATGTCATGTACGTCTTTGTAACCTGCAACTGGATGCTTTGAATTTCCCTCGGGATCAATAAAGTATCTATCTATCTATCTATCTATCTATCTATCTATCTATCTATCTATCATAAAACATAAACAAAAACGAATTAAAAAAATCAGACAGCACAACAAAATATAAACCAAATAAAACACAATAAAACATCACAATAAAGTCAGTCAAGAGCTCATACCAAAAGAGGAATTCCTACCAAGATCCAACCTGTTTAAGGCTACAAAGGTTATCTTTAATTACACAGCAGGTCTCGATGAAAGACTTTTGATTTTGATGTCTAAAGATGGAACCGAACCAAATACAACAGGTCAGGTCAAAGGTTTGAAGGAGCACTCTGTGGAGAAGCTGCTCCAAACAGCTTGTTCAGCTCTGTACAGCATGCAGCTCTCTCTCTCTCTCTCTCTCTCTCTCTCTCTCTCTCTCTCTCGCTCTCTCTCTCTCTCTGTGCTGCTGTGATTCGTGTGAGTGCAGCGCCCCCTACTGGTGTGAAAACAAAAAAGGGGCTCACAGAGAAAGAAAGATAAAAGAAACAACAATGAAGAGAACAAAAAGGAAAACAATCAGAAGCCTATTAGAGACTGAATATTAGTCTGGTAAATATTTGAATTCAATTAATGAGTGTAATTTAATGTCCATTTAGCAAATCTGAAAGAAAATCTTTCAAGTCTCAGGACAGGATGAGCTGCTGTACCATCAGCACTCGCACCCTGCTCCAGATCAGACCTTTGAATTGTGAAAGTAAAAGTTCAGGGAAAGTCTGCAGATGCAACCTAAGCCTCCGAAAAGACAGAGATAAAAACTGTCGTGGCCACAAGTTTGCCCCTTTTTGTCCTCGTGTTTCTTCAGAGTTCCCCCCCCTCCTTTTTTGTTTCTTGTTGTCTCTCTCTGTCTCTGGGTGTGGCCGTCCTCAGTTCTCCTAATCTGCTCTGCTTCCTGAATGATTCACCTGTCTCTCTCATCAAGTCATCAGTCTTTAATCGTCAGATCATTTCAGTCGGCTTCAGCTCAGCTCAGATTCTGGATCATCAGTTCAGCCGCTCTCCACCGGCCCACCTCTCATTCTTCCCCTCATCTGAAACTATCATTCATTTAAGATACTTCAACCTTTTACACCGCGTCTGTGTTCTGAACTTTGGGTCGAGGAGAAAGGGAAACTACCACTGGCTTAACTGACCCGGCTCGGGGAGGATGATACGTACTTTCCAAAGACCGGCTCCAGAGTACAGGGGATGTAGTTGTCACTGTCGTTGATTGTCTTTTTCCCCAAAGTGATCTTCATGTAGGGGTCACACTGAAAACACAAAGCAGGAAATACACTTTACTGTAACTAAATGGTATAAAAGAAGTAAATGTGTCGCACTCTTCGTACCTTCCCGTTGGTGTCTTTGGGCTGCAAGCTGTGAGCCTGGATGACGTAGACTCGGACCAAACACTCCTCGATGCCGTTTGAAGGAAGCTTTCTGAACTGTCTGGGAGGAGGCGGGACGGAGGGGTTGTCCGGCAGAGGGTAGATCTTAAACATACCCTGATTAAGAAAAGTAAGGACGGGAAGTAGACAGGACACAAAGAAAGAGGTGAGCATCAATGATGTCGCTTCACTGCACATGAAGACGAACTTCAAGATCTTAAGGATTTTAACAAAAACAGACGGGCTAGTAGTTGTAGTAATCATTTATTTCATTCACAAAAAAAAAACAAAAACATTTTGACAGAAAAGGTGTAGGCTGAAGCTTTAGCTTATTACACCTACCCTCGTTACAAATCTCATTATTTAAGACACTACACTACAAAACAAAACAAATGAAACAAACAGAAGTCACACTCACAAAAAAATGATCAAACCGACCTTTTATATTTGTTAAACATTTAAATCTGGAAAGTGAACTACACATTCTTAATTCCATGGCATAAGTATTCCACAAGTTAACCCCTTTTACCGAAATACACCTGTTCTTTATGTTTGTCCTTACCTTTGGTTTTTTATACACACCTATTCCCCTTAGTTCATACCGTCTCTCTCTAGTTTAAAAAAACCCTCTGTTGGGAAGCAAATGATTGTATGCCTTGTACATTATCTGAGCAGTTTTTAGATCTACTGGATCGCTGAATTTTAAAGCGTGTATGTTAATAAATAGTTGAAAAAGAACAAAACAAAGCTGCAGCTAAACAGCGTAAAAATGAAAGTCAGTATGAGAAATGATGCCATGTTTGTAAAGCTTACCTTGAACTCTCCCACCACTGAAGGGTCCTCTCCTGCATCCTGAGACTTTCCTCTGTACAGCTTAAAGGTCTGACAGAAGTCTGAGAGACCCTCGACGCCCTCGACCTTCTCCAGCTCACGATCATACACCTGAGGGGGAAAAAACGATATTACACATGAAGATGTTTTCAATAGAGAAAATCTTTTTTTATAGACAACTAATTCCTCTTAATTTTTCTCACTGGTTACTTTCATTGATAAACTTGCATGCATGCAACACCTAGCAGGAGTGAGTGCTGTCAGATGGGGCACTCTTAGGGGGGTTTTCTACTGTCATTGCAAAATTTGGACATTTTGTGGCCACTGCTTTCGGTTTAAAGTTTGTCAGCCCTCAAGGGGCCCCCTACTGGTCTGGGGCCCGCCTCTGCATGAATCAACTTTACTCCAAGTTACGTGTTGTGTTCAGAGGAGTTTAATCTTCAAACAGAAAACACGCAAACTGCTTTATATATGCGTCACAATCATCTTTATTTTTAACAGCTTCTATCGGGTCGCCAACATAACGCACACACATTTACACTACATGGCATCATAGCTGAGGGTCAGGGCCAGTCTGATTCCACTGGTATTGAAGCTAAACTGGAGCCAAAAGCTACTCAACACACTTTATTACACTCACACGACAGGGGCGCTGGCATGAGGCTGTGTTAGTGTGTGTGTGTGTGTGTGTGTGTGTGTGTCAAAGTGTGCAGTCTGTATCTGGGCAGGGACGTTTATGTGTCAAAAGCACAAAAAGATTCATTCGTTTTCATTAGTCATGTTTGTTTACATCAGCCACACACACACACATTCCCTTTTTTCCTTTGTCTATCGCAGAAGAATGACAGCTCTGCCGGTCGCTGAAAGGGCAAACTTTAGCAAAAACCCAGTAGCAAAAAATCAGCGCTTTTAAGAAAAATGGAAGATGATTTGCATGGATGTTTTATTGGACGTGTTAATGTTTGTTTTTTTAACATGATTGACAGGTGGGAGCAATGCAACAGCTCGTCAAGAGGCTTAAATCTCTCCTCACTATCAGGAACAAGGCCTGCTCACTGTTGATCTCCCAAAAGGCAATCGAAACGTTGCCCTGGTTTAAGAAGATCGCCCATTGGGAGCTGAACAGTGAGCAGACCTTTTACCTTTTTCTGTTTTGCCTCTTCACAAGTTCCTAAATTTCTTTCAAAATAAAAGCAGGTTTGTATCAAAACAGGAAGTAAAGTATCTTTAGTTTAAGAAAGTACAACTTTGGGAAATGCAAAATACTGTTATTTCAAACAAGTGATTAAAATTGCATTTAATCAAGATGAACTATTGAATTTCAGCTTTTAATCGTGATTTTAAAAAATGTAATTGTTTGACAGCCTGAGTGATAAGTTGTTCTTTGGCAGAATCAGCTGACACGCAAGGGTGCAACACCCGACACAGCTCAGCCTCAGGGTGTAAAGTTGGGTTTTTCTCGCATGCGCCTTCTAAGGGAAAACAGTCATGAGATCAGCGACATAAATAATTCTTGATACAAGCACGGCACATGTTTATTTGCTGATTAATTTGATTATTTTGCCATGAAAACTTGGTTCCAATAATTGATTTTATTGAATTTGATAACCTGCTTTATCGTCATTGTCCAGAAGTAGTCGATGTCAATTGCTGCAATTTAATTCATTAATTTCACATAATTTTGCAACGCATTCATTTCTTATATGATGTACAGTTTGTGGGTTTTGTAAGTTATGCATAGCAGGGAAACTCGCTTGCAAAGCAGTTACATGTTGCATCTACTTTAACTTGTTTTTAATTAAAAAAACAAAGGGAACATGGTTTATGGGGAAAGAGAGATGTGGGGAAAGAAAAGGGAGGAGGAGGGAGATGAGTGGATGAAGGGTATATGGTCTAAGTTTTGGGTGGAGAAGGGGTGAAAGGGTTGGAAAAGCAAGGGGGAGGGTGGGGGGGAGGGGAGGAACAGGACAAAGAGAGAGTGATGAAGGGGATGATGTAAACCAAAGCGAGGTCTGGAAACAGCGGTTCATTGCACTTTGTGAACACCAAACCCAGTACCAAGGGAGAGGGGAGATGGAGAGGGAGGGGAAGAGGCTTTAGACAAAACATGACGGGTTGTAGAGTTGATAGATGCGAGTCCTTGACAATCACAATGATGATTTTTAAATGGTAAATGGGCTGCATTTAAATTGTGTTTTTCTTGTCTTTCGATCACTTAAACCAACCATTCCCCCCATTTACACACTAATGGTTAAGACTGCTTTGGAAGGTACTCAACAGTCCATATTATTAACCACACTGACACACCAACATGGGGTTCTGTATCTTGCCAAAGGGCACTTCAACATATTGACTACAGGAGCTGGACCACCGTTTGAGAGATGAGCCACTCTACCAATGAGTTGGTAGAGTGGTAGAGTAGCGACTTACATAACTAGTAGATGGCAGTGTGTTAGTGTATGGACTTTGATAAAGAAGCCTCAATAATGGAATTTTGGAACTTGATTAAGTCGTGATATTTGGAGCCAGATATTACCAATGTTTTTGACAATTGAAGGGATGCACATTGCAATTACTTCCAACCTTATTGTTAGATTCCTGGGTTGCAACTTGTCAACACATGTTTCATAAATGAAGGTCAACTCTAACACTGTCAAGCATATACAATGGAAACTAGAAAGCAGCTTATAGAAAGCAATTTTTTATTACATTTAGTGAACTACCCCATGAACATTTGACAAGAATGATCATTAAAAAAATGCTCATCTAAATGATTCCTGCTCTGATTCAACTAGAACAAGAAAAGGTACAACAGACACCCAAAAAAAAGTGATCACTTTTAAATATGCCATTTGTCTAGGGGTTGGGGTTAAGGTGTGAAATCCCTAAGGGAAAGCTGAAGATGATGAAAATAAAAGACAAGTCTGGAAACATTGGCTCACTGGAATACAGCACATCCCAATCCTGCACCAACCCACTACCAGGGGAGAAGGTTAAAAGAGGGACGAGGGGGAAGGCGGTGAAAAAGGGAAAGCATGAGGTGAACCAAATCAAAACAAGGATGGAAACAGCAGCTTCTTTGTGGCAGATGCAAAACTGACCAATTCCACTGTGAAGGAAGAGGAGAGAGAAACTGAAAGGGGAAAGAAAGAAGAGAGATGAGTATGGGTGCGTGTGGAAGGAAAAGGGTGAGCCAAGGATAGAGTGCTTCTGACTTAAATGACAAGAAAACAAGACACTGAAAACCTATTCTGGCAGTCGTTTTGAAGTTTTTAAAGTTTCCTGGCATGTTTTAAACTTATAAATATTTCTATGATACATCCAATCAATGTCACGCTAAGATCATTTTTGATAGTTAAAAACGGATGGCCTCAATATAGCATCTAGCTTACAGTAAAATGCTGCAAAAGGAAATGTTTTGCTTTGTAATGGCTAGCCTCAATGTAGGGTTCCGCCAACAAAATTAACCAAGGTAGAAAAACAAAACAGTTTTGGCTAGCTAGCAAATGTGTGTATCAACATTTCACCAATAATGTCTACTTAAAATTGGAACTCAAAATCATCACAGTTTTTATCTATGGAGTTGTCCAGTGCATGAGGTTGCATGCTGTGATTAAGGTACACAGTGGTATTTATCTTGAGGGGAAGTTAACAGTGTTAGACTTTGAATACCCTTGTTCTGAACCAATGAAAGCTACTGGCTGTTTTAACAGTAAACATGACATTTTCTTGACTTTGCACATCAATTTGCATTCACTTGGATTCTTACTAAAATAAGTTACTGTCATCTTATGTGCTCGATGTGTCCTGGAGGTTTTTTCTTTTTCCAGAGAACTCTCATTTGCTTAAGTGGCCATGACATGTTTAGCCATTTTCGTAGCTAATTTCAACCTCTGTGGTGGCACCAGAGGAGAGTGCTACATTGCTGATTCAACAGGTTTGTGGAATCAGGAGGCGATGGAAACAAAAACAGAAAGGTGACAGAAAAAAAGAGAGGGGGACCACAGAGCGGTGGCTGAGAAGAAAGGTGAGAATATTAACTAGTTGACTTTGGGTCATTGTAAGGAAAACTGTTAGTAGCCACACTAAGACTGTCAAAGGGCAGAGGAAACAGGAGAGGTAGGAGGGTAAAGAGAAAGTAGGTGGCAGCATGGGGTTAGAGGAAGGTAAAGGAGGTTTGGAAAGGTTGGAAAGAGCAGCTCATTTCCTTGTGACAGTAGCAGATCTGACTGGAGGGGTTGTCAAAGAAAAGAAAGGAAAAGGATACTTAAGGAAAGAGGGGAATAAATGAAGGGGGCATTGGCACCAAGTAGGTGGAGGGGTAAAGGTGAAACCGAGGCAAAAGTGATGATGGAACCAGAGGCTCATTGGTCATTTTGCTAGTTTCCATCCAACTGTCAAGAGAATTTTGAACAAAGTTTTGATATGTCGCAAAAACTTAACGGCATCTTGGATACATTTCCATCGACTAGGGTGAAACCATTTAATGGGCTTCCTGAATGAAAAAAAAATCTACCCATGAGATGGTTTAATGGAAAGAGCCTTTCAAGGGTCAATGACTATTGGGCAAGCTGTTATTGTTCTCTATTGTACCATTTAGTTTTAGTCGTATTTCAGTGTTTTCTATCCAAGGGAAAATTTCAAAGAAATGTGCTTTTACATGGGAGTGTATGGCATTGATTTCTGTAACGTTTCTCAAAATAAGACGCTAACATTTGAACGCTTTTGCATGGTATTGATCCATGAGTTGGCCGCTAAATTGATGAGATAAGTTTTCTGTAAACGCTTTTTCAAGTTATTCTATAACTGACAAATCGCCTGCTAAACATACCAAAAGCTTAATGAAGGAAGAAAAATACACATAAGAAATGGAGGACACAGTCAAAGCTGCTGCAGTGATGTGAAATGGCTTTCAAGGGAGAGGTTAGAGGTCTAATTTCAGAGTAATAAAAAGGCCAAATTCTGACATGATTAGTCATTTGTTTGGGCATCAGACAAGAAGACTGACGTGTGGTTTGAGTCCCTGTGGATGAAAAGGTCTGCGTCTGGGCCAAGAGAATCGGGATAAGGGTTGAACAGAGCGTGGGTGATGGTTGAAGGGCTCCTGGGATGGCGGCTGAACTGTGGCAGACTGAAGACTGAACGAGAACTAAAGATTGACGAGATCCTAATTATGGACCTGCCAATATCGAAGAGGGGCCTTTTCCCTGATTCCGTCCCACTGCTATGATCCCGAAGCGAATTCAACAAGGATGAGTCATCCCACTTGTTCGGAAAATGGCTAAAATGTCACGGCGCCCCGCTTCGAAGACGGGGCATGAGAAAACAGGAGGAGGATAAAAGGGACGGACTGATGGAGGAAACTGGCAGGAGGGTAAAAATGTGATTTAAATGCTGAAGTTCGATTTAACGAGCAAAATGTTTCAAGTAAATGGAACAAAGGGCTCCACTGTCTTCATCTTCTTTATGTATTCCTCGAATATTCCCTTTAGTCTTTAGTAAACAGTAGGGATCTCTGTCAGGTCCAGATGTCCTTGATGTAAGCAGATATTCATTTGTTTTATTCCCATTTTCGTCGATTCCCCTTCTGAATACAAGCTGTGTTTTTTATAATATTTAAAACTGGACGTGGTCGGGTGGAAAAGTTCCAACAATGCGTAGTGCGTACCCTCTGTTGACTAATAGACTATTTCTGAATGGTATCGTATTTTGGTCCATCCACATCAATAAAAACCACTAAACTAACATTTAAAGATAATTTTTTTACAATATATATTAGAAACATGTTTAAACTGAACTTTTCGCCCATCTGCTTTATGTATTAAACACTCTCTCTCTCTCTCTTACCTTCAGTGTGTCGAATCCTCTCTCCAGGTAAGTCCCGTACTTGTTTTTCTCTCCAGTTGAGGCGTAGAATTTGCTCCACCAATCCATGAACTCCTCTTCCTGTTGGTCAAATACAGTAGGCAGAGGTCAGAGATCAGAATTGCTACATGGAGCAACAAACTCTCTAAGAAGAGGAGGTTTTACTGTGATTTTCCAAAATTCAGGGCATCAATTGAGATACATTCAGTTGAGTGTTTTTTTGAATATTTTCACTTGAATCTAGGTTTATTATCATCTCAATGAAGAAAGCCGACATCAAAGTTCACCTCTTCCCCCACTAAAATGTATCTTGGAAAATGGACCAAAAAACCGTGATAGCCACGATTATGCTTAACATCTTGACTCCTGTAGTGACCTTTAAAAAGACATGAAAAGCTGTGGTGAGTGCTGTTTGCCTTTGCAGAGCAGCCCACCTCCGTGCTCAGGAATAATTCTCGTTTCATGATTTTTTCCAATGATCCCAGAGCAACGTGAGGTTTGCCAACTCACGTCAACACATGTAAAAACCTGCCTCTGGTGGCTCTGTGGCATTAAGGTCATGGTATATGGGCGTTCTGAGGCAATGGAAACGGGTAACGTTAAGATGGGAACAGGCACAAAGTGAACGAAACCAACATGGGCATCAAAAGAGAAAACCTATAACGGCAGAAAAATAAAAAGCAGCTGCAAAATGTATATTTATATACGAATGAAAGGAATCCCTCTGCGGCTTCGCTTTCAAACTCTTTTCTCTGTTGCACTTCAATAATTTGCTACCATCGACTGATATCATAATTTCATCTTTTTATATCACGTCAAACATGGGCTGGTTGGACAAAAGCCTAATATATCTCTCAGAGGTACTCAGGTAGGGTCATGCCTAGACTAAATTTATCAACTGTCTTCAAATTAAACCCAATGTCCTTAAATGTTAGCAGATTATTGCCTTGTTTTGTCAGTGGGTGCATGGTACTTGTGGTATAAGTAGTTTTTTTCAGTCGAAAGCCAAGTCAAAGCCAACAACTCCACTTAACAAACTCTAATCCCAGTTTAAGGGAAGTCACCAGTCATTGGTGTGAAATCAAAGTTGTTTGAATCTATTGGACTTGAGATTCAAGTTCCAACCTCTGAAATCGGGCTCTGAGAAATTCAAAGAACTTTGTTGTTTCCGGTGTGGGAAAATTTAAATTTGATTGACATTTGTAATAACCCTTATAACAACTAATCCAGCATTTGAAAGGGGGTTTATCTATCAGCATGTCATTGAGAACATGATCATCAGCCCAATGTTCCCTCAACCCTATGATCCCTCAGCCCTATGATCCCTCAGCCCTATGTTCCCTTAGTCCTATGTTTCCTCAGCCCTATGTCCCTTCAGCCTCATGTTCCCTCAACCAAATGTTCCCTCAACCCTGTGTTCCCTCAGATTATTACTTGCCTCATTTGCGCCTCCTACTTGTTCGGTTGAGTTGAACATTTTCAATTTGAGCACAATAATTTGTGGTTTAATTCAGGGTGCAACAAGACACTTTGTACATTATAGAAGGGCCAGCCCTGATGCTGGGTGAATGTAGGCCTGAGGGGACATATGGTCTAATTTGGGGGGAAAACCATTAAGGGAACATGTGGCCTAATTTTGATGGGGGCAAATTTCAAAGAAATTAGGGAACATAGGGATACCCCTCCCCCGTTACTGTGTCCGTAACATATGACATTCTTTTAATATTCAACAAACTTGCTGAAAAACTTACCCATTGTAACATCTAGTGTCCGCGTTAACAGTTAGAGAGAGGTCAGACAGAAATCACACACACTTCACACTCAATCAGTACAGACACGTAAAAATGAAACCACACACTGTAATAACAGGTTTAAAAACATTTAAAGAGGCTTTTTAAGTACATTTCTGGATACTTGTGCATCACACATAATGGGTTTCACTCCAACATAACACATAAACTCTTTGGAAAAAAATAAAAATAAATGCGTTTATTACAAAATGACTGCTGGCATAAAAGAAAAGGCCATTTAAGTCTTACTGTTACAGCCGTGAGTCATCCTGAGGCCGGCACTTACAATGTCGTTCTGTTTTGCAGCATAAAATATCTTTGTTTTTCAAACGTTAACTGATGGCTTTTTGCGGTTTTGGATATGAGTCATTTTGATTTATATCATGTGATTTTTGGGGGGAATATATGACATCTGAGTGAAACCCTGTTATGTGTTTCTATCAAGGACTTTCATATCCTTAAGTATGAAGCAGTGACATCCATCAAATTTACTTAAAGTCTGTTCACATTGGCAATGTCAAGCGGTCTATTCAAACATAGAGTAGAGTATTTTCTCCCAGATGGAGTTTGTGTGTGTGTTGACGGCAGCCATGACGCAACAAGGAAACATCGACTACAAAGACGGGGGATATCAAGGGACAGATCAGACTACCAGCCCCCTTCGCTCACACACATTTGAGCTTGAACCCGACCCAGCCCAGCAACCTTCAACCCTCCGAGGAACACTCGAGACTAAAACACACTCATGACGCATGTACCACTTTTTCCCTTTGTGTGTGTTTCACTGTATGTGCAGGCATGAGTGCAGAACACAAGTACTCTTATTGCACTCAATCGGGAGTGGAATCCCCTTTCTCCATGCTTCCCACGGATTCAAAGAAACTCACAAATCAAGACGGGGAAAACGATGGAATTCCTCATTATTGCAAAGTGGCAGCATGGCATGGAAAAGGGCAGCACGTGGAGTTTAACTGGGACATGGCGCGGTGTGTCTGAGCCGTGAAGTGTCTGCTGTGTGTTAATGTGCCCTCTGTGTGCAGTCGGTGCCAAGCATTGATGACAGGGGCGCCAGATTGTGTGTGTGTGAGTTCCCGCTGTAGTGTGTGTAAAGGTGCGTTCCCTCAAGTTCCACGACTCCTGATTCAGACTGATTAGGGTCGCCAGTGGAGCGTTCCAGACTGCGACGGGTATTTAGTACACACTTAAGAGACCGAATGCACACACATACACATGCAGTGGTCTGTTCAGGGTGTCATTGTGGTTTGCAGCCTATCATTACGCCCTGGAGGGAAAGCCAGGCTAACCAAACCAGACTGGCACTGCCAAGAACTGTGAGAGCCGGGAGGCTGGATTTACATAAGAGCTCTGAGCTGCTTCATAAATGCTTCTAGTGGGGAAATCCCTTCCACAGCCATGTAGGAGGTCAGAAGTCAACACAGCAAACCTGAAGCTGGAAAATACTCTACAGCCGCCACCTTAACAGCCTCTTAGAGACCAACACTCGGAGATCATTCATGAGCTTTTTGTAGCTCTGAAACAGCCTGGAGTGGAGACCATTGATGGTCTGTGACAGCTTCCAGGATGCTTAAGCTTATGGAATAATTAGTGCGGTAGCCGACTGGGCTTCAACAGCGTTACTTCTGAGCTCTTGGTAAATATAAGTGGCAGAGAAATTTAACGAAAACCACCGTTGGTGTCTTAGAAAGATGATGGGCCACCACAAACCTTATCTACAATTCTACAATTCACTTAGCAGACGCTTTCATCCAAATCGACGTACATCAGAGAGTAAGTACAACACAAGAAAGGATCTAGAAAAAAGGGAACAATGTCAGTAAGAGCAAACGATCAGCTTTGAGTCTGATTGGACACATAGGTGCTGACAGGAAGTGACCAGAGGCAAAGCACAACAGTGACGGCAGTTCTTGAGAGCTCTAATCAGTATAGAAACCATCTTATAAGTCGTCATTATCAAACAGAAACCATCGTCACTACCATCATCATCATCAATAATATGGAGACCATTATCATTAAGTTAGTAGGTATTCATGAAAGAGCTGGGTCTTTAGCTTTTTCTTAAAGGTGCAGAGGAGTTTGGAAGTTCATTCCACCACCGGGGGCAACAGAGGAGAAGAGTCTAGTTAGCGTCTTAGGACCCTGTTGTGAAGGTAGGATCAGATGCCTTTCATTGGCAGAGCGTAGTGGGCGGGTGGGAGTGTGAACCTGGATGAGAGAGTTATAATGAAGAAAGCAATAATGAACATCTTTATTGCTCCTTGCCATAGATTGTCCATGTGTGGAAGTCTGCTGTGGGGCACTGGTTATGCTGAAGACGTTTGCACATTTGGTGAATTGATAATCAAGTCTACAACTAAATAGAAGGGTTTTACTAGAATTTTAAGACCGCAAATGTCAAAATTGATCATCCTGATATAATGTAAGTGGCAGTTACAGCCTTTGCAGCCTTGTCTGGTAGCAGCTAATTTAGCCTCAATCCCTATATCCTCAAGCCAGATAAAGAGCAAGATAACACATTCTGCCCAGCTTGCTTAAAATTGAACAGCTCATCCCGAAAACTTCAGGAGTTTAGTGTGACTAAGGCTATAGACTGAATTACCAGTACCCAATGACGTCTGCTTTTGTGGGCCCGTTAATTCTGAAGTATCAGTTTTTGCAGAGGTCTGGCTTGAAATGCTTATGGTAGACTTGTAAAAGCAATACACCCATGTCATCCAGTCGTGCATGGCCAAATTTGGATGTCATTCCAGGGCAGCAAATATGTGCAGTACTCAGATACAGGAGGCGTGCAGCAGCTTACATAAAGTCTGCAGCTGTAATTAGCATAACAAGAAAAACAGTAATGATTTACAAAGCTATTTTGACATCTTGTTCCTGGTTAGATTGTCATTAAAGGGCCATAAATGTGCATTCCATAAACCCCCAAATAATACCGCAAAGTCACCTGGCAGGAAGCCATGTCAGTTAGTTTGTCTGGTTTTGAAGCAGCCAGAAGGATTTATGAAACTAGAGGCAAAATACATCGATTTGAGAGTGGCATTATGAGCAGACTTGACTGATATTTGGCGCCATACTGGAAAAGTATGGAAAAGTATAAAGAGGACAAGAAATGGTCGAGGAGACGTGCAGTACAAGCACATTTTTTTAGAGTGGCATAATGAATGAAAAAAACCTGTCACCTTTGGAAAACATTGACACAAAAGCAGATACCTTCACTAGCAAAAGAGGCTGATTTGATCCAAAAAATACTTTCATCAGAGCTAAAGGCTGCGAATGAAATAGGTCACAAAATGTTAATTTTCCATCTAACCAATGTTTGATCTCAACAATCCTGAAGGGGATTCAGGGGTTTGAGGAGCCATGACGCTACTGACAGGCGTTCTTCTTGAACTTTTCCAACTCTGAAACTAAATCTGTCTGATCCGCCTTGGTAGTCACTCCACGTATCGTATACTCAACTGCAAGTAATCTGGTAATTATCCGACAAACCCCCATGACCCGTGTTTTGGTCGCAACCCAGAGATTAAGAAGCCAGGACATTGAGCACATTGGATTTTCTTTTTCTGGTGCCATGAGATACCAGTCGTCCTCCTTTAAGTCAAACCTCTTTCCTCTCTTTCTCCCTCTTTAACTGTCTGCTTACAGAGAGTTGTGGTGTAGAGGATCTGTAGCAGCTCTGTTGACTTTGGCCCCAGCCAGACAGAAAACCCGAGCCTTTAATTTGACTGGTTTCAATATCTGACCCTTAATAAAACAAATATCTTTGTTTGGAGAGAAAGAAATCACCCCCAATTACTGTCGAGCAAAGACGGAGCAAGCACTACTGGATGTGTATATTTGCAGTCTGGTCCGGGTCAGGCTAAGTCTTCCAATTGACCTGGCTTGGGTAAATAAGATGGAAGAATGTATCGAGGAGCGTGTTCCTCGCATTCAAATCTGGGATCACATGTCTCCTTAAAACCACACAGTTTGGTGAACAGTTTTTTGTATAACCCTGATTTCTTCAGCAGAAAGTATTTTTCTGAGCACCACCAGTAAAAATTGAAAAAACAAGACTCGAGGAAAACTTCCCTATAATGAACTTTATCAATAGATAAAGCTTTTACTTTTAAAGGACATCTCTGCTTCCATTAAATGTCTCTCATTGCCAATTTTGGAGGAGAGGTGAAACGTCTTCAAGATCTTCAACTAAGTTCAGTTGCCTTTGGATCAGGCTTCGATTGAGTTTACATAGATATAGCTAGCTATTTCATTTGTGAAGCATTTCTTGCTGGGACCTTTCAGGAATAACGAGAGTGTTTGCATGACTATACAAAGCTATCGTAATGTGCTTGTTGCCATTGTGAACAGATCTGGAACAAGTATTCATTCTAATGTCTCAAAAACAGCATTAATATGTAAATTGATGATGATGTCAAATTCAAAAAAGTCAGAAAGTTATGACAAAGAAGAATTGTTTTGAATCTGTAAGTTTGATGGATAGAAACATATCAAGAACTAAAGCAGATAAGTTGACAGTACATAGTTAACACTTTGAGTTACATGAATGGTTTGGCGATGAATGGATGCAATGTGTTAATGATGAGTTTGTTACCTACATGAAGGCTGCGACTAGAGGTGGAAAGGTTAATGATAGCCGAGCTGGCTCCATCTGCAAACTATGAGACAAATGCACACACCCAAACACACAAAAATACACACACACAGATAACAAAAAAGACACATTTTCAGGTTAGCTCGTTAGGGTTAGCAACAATATTAGCGTCAAATCTTAGAGAACAAGTGTCAATTTCAATTAGTTCACATATTAATCATTCAAGATGTAGGTTTGCAATGTTAGTAACACATTAAACACACTGTAATCATTAAAGGAACAGTATGTAACTCTGACACCTAGTGTTTAAAATGGGTACTGCAGTCCGAAATCAAACATTGTAGAGAGCCGTCTCTCCCCGTCTTAGAAACATGCAGAGGCTTTTTAGGTCGGGTACAATCACTTCTATCTGAACCACTTCTCTTGCCCGCTTCCATCGCTGCAACACCTGTTGACCTGATAACTGCTCTCATATCTGACAAACCGAGGGGCGTCCAAAACGGCCGTGAGGGGGGGTCGCCTTAAAAGCGCCTACCTTCTCTGGTCCAAACAAATCCAGAGCATTCAGGAGCAGAATCTAAAGTTAGAAGGAGGACATACTGGCTGCTGCATTGTTGTCAGAGAAGCCAGCACTTCAACATAGCATGTTTCCTTAATGTCTGATCATATGGTAAGGTCACTTTATCATCTCACTCACTACACATCTCACTGATTTGACCTTAAATGTTTATCATTTTTAGTCATCCAACACCGAGATAAAAACCTTAAAAGTGACTCAAGCAAAGACATGTTCTCATAAACCCCATGTTTTCTCCAAGAAGAGAAACAATGAATCAGAAATTGAAGTCAGAAAGCTGGAGCCTTTACATAACTCTGCATGTTGTTGGAGCTGCTTTCTTGGAGGTTGTTGACAAAAGCAACGCACTTCTTCATTAACAATTGTTCTCCATCAGATGATTTATCGATCATTTCTGGTTACAATCAGCTGCTCTGCAAGCGTGCAAAACCTTCAGCCAAAACCACAAACATACCCACTGGTTGCATCACCGGTAATGTTTGCACGCACAGCTGTTTTCATGTCAAAGCTTTCTTAATTGGATGGGGGACGTTGAGGTCAGGGTGGGTACACTAATTCCAACACCCATCGTGGAAATACACACACATACACAGTGATTAGCATTAGCTGCAAGAGATTGGAAAAACGTTAAGTTTATGTGCGTTAATGCGTGTTTCCGTTTGTGTGTTGTGGCGCCTGTGGATTAAGAGGGGACACACAAAGGAATTAGAAGACAGAAAAGAAACCGAGGAGGATTAAAGAATGATGGGAAGATCACAGTGGGGATGAGAAGAAGACGAACCACAAAAATGAAGGGAGAGCAAGAAAGAAAAGAAGGGGACGATGTGCCCTTTAATGAACTCTACCCATTAAAATGACAACCAAAAGAGAAGAACAGAAGGGATGGAGGTGAAGAGGAGAGGGAGCAAACGAGAGTTTAAGAGGAGAGGGAGAAGTAGAAAGAGAGGAGAGGGGTAGAAAGGAAAGAGGCACAAATGGGATGTTAAGAAATGGAGATGGGCCAGTGGAATATGTGAAGACTCGGGATGGGAAGAGAGGAAGCAAGGATCAGGGAAGAGAATAAGGAAGGAGCAAAGAAGATAGAAAGAGAAGGAAAGGAAAAGAAGAAGAGGGGAGATGTCTGTGTATGTTCCTCAGTCATTCAGGTCATGGTAAATCCAAAGCTTGATCTAAAGGCAACTGGACTTGGTTCAAGATCTTCAACCAAGTCCAGTTGCCTTTGGATGAAGCTTCAAAAGATGAGGAGAGGGGGAGTAATGAAAGACTGATGTTCAAAAAAGGGGCAGAAAAAAGTGACAGTGGAGAAAATGAAAAAATAGAGAAGAAAAAAGTTAACAGCTGACAGGAGAGGGGGAAAGAAGAGTGAAGGAGTCCAGAACAGAAGTCTTGAATCATCATATCCACACGGAGGAGGTCGACGGGACTCACGAGCCGGGAATTCTTTCCCTGAAAAATCAGAACCTTCTGCTCAGATTCACCGTCTTTTAAATGTTTAAATGTAATATCTTCAAATGGGCCAAATGGTGGTTTTTCCATGTTGTAGCTCATTAACTTCAGATTTCTAAACACTGAAACATTACCGCACAACTTTTTCCAGCCTCTATCGTAATGCCTTTGTTGGTTTCTTTGAGCGTCTTTTAACCGGTTCTGAAACTCTCTCAATTTACTTTGGATGCCACTATGTGACTTACAAAACTGCAGCTGGATGGCTACGTCTATAAGGAATCTTTGAGTGCACGCCTTGGGTTCTGAATCCCGACAAAATCAGAAGAACATAGAGCCAAGACTCAACAAGTACTTCATAGGTGTCAAGTAAACTGGGGTCCAAACATGGCTGATCTGATCTGCACAGCAAGCCAAAACTCGGCCTCTTTCATTCAAACTATCTGAGCTAATGCAACAACGACATTAAACACACAATAATGGGCTTGTTTTTCTTTATGTTTGTTTAATGGACTACAGGAACCACAATTTGATGACGGTGCATTCCTGAGCTAACCCGGCTCCCTGAGGTCCCTATTGGCTCTACCGTGATTTACACAGGGATAGCTTCAGTCTCTCAGTGCATGGTGTGTGTTTACATTATTTATGTTTTCCCCCTCTTTAAAGAGCGTGTGACAGCCTTATGTGGTCTTTGCCTTACCAAATAACACCAAATGATGTTGTCTCCTGATTTTTCACATTCCTACAATCACTAATATAAACAAAGAAAAACCATTTAAAGGACCACAACAGTGTTTGTGTGTGTCTCAGGGGGAAAGGCGGTTATTTTGTAAGTTGGCATTTCTCCATTGACAAATATTTCCTGCAGGCTACGTGCTCCTCAGAGATGCATGTCGTATATCCTTCGTTGACATATTTGCACAATATTTAATTATCATTCTGAAGAAAACATTTTTTTTAAATCTTTCATCAAGCTTCAAGCACTTTTTGTTATAGGACCAATATGTTAGATATCTACTGACTGAAATGATAAAATGAGCTTACTATATGATCAGACATTAAGGAAACATGCTATGTTGAAGTGCTGGCTTCTCTGACAACAATGCAGCAGCCAGTATGTCCTCCTTCTAACTTTAGATTCTGGATTTGTTTGGACCAGAGAAGGTAGGCGCTTTTAAGACGACCCCTCACACGACCGTTTTGGACGCCCCTCAGTTTGCCAGATATGAGAGCAGTTATCAGGTCAACAGGTGTTGCAGCGATGGAAGCGGTCAAGAGAAGTGGTTCAGATAGAAGTGATTGTACCCGACCTAAAAAGCCTCTGCATGTTTCTAATAAGCTCCACGAGCAGTTTTTGGACAATAGAACAAATTTCCAAACTCCCTTGGGTGTCCTTAGAGGTATACAATTTCAGTAAAACAGCACATGGTTTGTTGACTGTATTAGCTCAAGCATGCAGAATTGTTTGAAGACTTTTTGTGTTAATGTGTCCTTGAAAATATCTGTAGTCATGTCGGTGGATTTTGGTAAGTGTTTTTTTCAAATGTGTGTGATTATAAAAAAAAAAAAAAGAGACATTTTAGCCAGGATTTCCAAGTTTCCTCGACCTAGCAGTGGAAGAAAGTGTAAAAGAGAGAAGAGAAAAGACTGAGGGCAAGAGAGCCAGAACGTTAATGATTGGTGACGAGCGTGGGTTTCGTGGTCACCACGGTAACCACCGACCACAGAACCACAGAGACGGTTGTCATGTCACCGTGTTAGAAAGTGTTTATTTGTGCTGCTGGTATACCACTGAACACACGCACACAAATTTAGACTACACTTCTATTCTGAACATAGAAGTTTACGAATGTCATAATGCACATACACACACGTGTGCAGATGTTCCCTTTGGTCAGACAAGTGTTTCATACTTGGCCTTCACACTTGTTGGTTATCCGCCAAAATGCACAATTCACAGATTTGATAAAAATGATAAAGACTGGATTTGTTGGAGGTGATAGACTGCATAAAGACGTTAAAAACAAAGTGAAAGACCAACACCAAGACCAACATTACCGTAAACTTTCAATTAATAAGCCAGGTTTTTATTCAGAGATTTACAATAATGGACATGGTTTTTTACCTGGTCAGGCACAAGCGGCTCCTCGTCGTCGATGTCAATAAAGACCTCCCCACCGGTTGAATGGGGCCGCTCACCTGCATAAGAAAAACATGGCAGGATGACTTTTATCACAGCCATTGATTAATCTGGGGGGGGTTTATTCATTGCATGTTTCTTTCCATCCATGTCTTACGTCGCCATCCCTGGTCCTCCTCGTCTTCCCCAGTTGCTCGCTCCTCCTCTGGGACGCATCGAAACTCCTCCAGGGAACGGATGGTGCACTGACCGACCACCGGCTTCCTCCCAAACTGGCGGTTGTCGATGACTTTGATGACGATGGGCGGCATGTAGAGCTCCTCGCAGGGAAGTCTCTGGAGGGAAGGAAGACAATGTACTTTTAGTAAAAAAACATCATATCCCCTGATCTGTGATTACACTACGCTTCCTAATGCCAGACTCTAATTGGTTATGCCACCTGCCTGCCTGATGCTTATTGGCTATGGCTGCTGACTGTCTGGAGCTGATTGGACACGCCCTGGTGACAGTCCAATCAGGTCATCACATAGAACGTTTTAGCTCTACATTTGTGTAGAAGACATTTAACTGAATAACTTCTATGTGAAGCCCAAATTTAAAACTTATTTTAAAACAATTGTATTCAGTGAAGGTCTGTCATCCCTCTTGTAGGGAGAGGTTGGACGGTGCACTGGCGCCCTTTATTGATCAGCCACGTTAGGTTGCTTACGATAACTAAACAACATGTCTGAAATCGCGGAGGGGATTTCTGTTGAGTCATGTGGACTTCATATGAAGCAGCTCGATCAGACCTGAATGTCAAAACTGTTTACCCAGCCAAAACTTTGAAATCTTTGGTTACCACGGCATCGATAACCCGTCATTTCGCTCAAGTTTACATGAAGTTGAGAGCGATGGCTTTTGGTGACATGGTTAATACATTAGACCAGGGGTTCCCAAACTTTTCAGCCTGCGACCACCAAAAACAACAGTGCGAGGGACTGGGGACCCCCACTGTCCCTGACACAGTTACAGCAATCTCAAGGCTTTCTGGCATCGGTCGTTATGATGACAAGCAAACACTTCCTTGAATCTCCCTTGAACCTTCAACGTGCGCAACACAATATTTATTCTACCAGCCCAAACCAGTTACTCGTCTTGTGTTTCATACATCTCAGAAAGTGTATCACTGACTGCCTTGGTTATAAAAGGAGGGGCTTTAGAAGACAAACAGACCATCACTTCACTGAGTAATGTCTTACTGCCGCTCCTTATATAGGTGTTAGCTGGCAAACTAGAGCCCGCAGAGAGCTTGAGCAGGATCTGTATTACAATGGAGAGAAGAACTATGGTTGAATATTAAACCTTACAAGAAAACGATATCCCTAAAATACTCTTACTAAAGCCATGTCTGTAAATGTAATGAATTCTGACCCATCTGTATTTAGAAAAACTGATTCATTAGGGTATATGATACTAAACACGTCCAATAAACGGAGAAGAAATGAGGGGACATTTTCTTATACCCTCCCACGGTGTACAAAAACACTTACGCATTCATCTTAAGACCTTAATATTGTTAACATGAAATGCTTGGACTCAGTTCAGGGGGTTGGATTTTAAGGGAAAAACATGTGCACATTTCCAGAGTACAGAGGAGGCTGTCACACATTTGTGGTGGTCAACACGAAACCTTAATCTTGTTAACATTAAACCGCCGGAGTCAAAGCGAGGGGGAGGGGGGAAATATGTGGATATTTCCAAACTCCAGTTAAAGCTGTCATAATAAAACGGAGAGGTGATCAACCTCAGACCTTAATAGTGTTAACATTTAACTCTCTGAGCTGGCGTGCGGAAAATAATGTCATATTTCCATATTATATATAAAACACAGAGGATGAATGTAAAGGAACTGATGTAGCGTTGGTTGAAATAGTAATGGTACAGTTTTGCATATGGAGAATAAATGACGACGCCATTCTTTTTTTAAACATTGTGGTTTGTGTTGATTATAATAAATGACTGAAGTGGAGAAACTTTCTTCATTAAACCCAACATTGGTTTAATGAAGAAAGGTTCACTTCTATGTGAACCGGTTTGTTTGACCGCACCCATCGCTGCAACACCTGTTGGTTTGACCCAATAACTGGTATCATATCTGGCAAACTGAGGGGCGTCCAAAATGGCCATGTGGGGGGTCGCCTTAAAACTGCCTACCTTCTCTGGTCCAAACAAATCCAGAGCACTCAGGACCAGAATCTAAAGTTAGAAGGAGGACATACTGGCTGCTGCATTGTTGTCAGAGAAGCCAGCACTTCAACATAGCATGTTTCCTTAATGATATAGTAAGGTCATTTTATAATTTAATTCAGTATATATCTAACATATTGCTCCTTTCATTCATGATTTATATCTCCAATTTGCTTTTATCCAGGTTTAGTACTAAATGTTTACAGTGGAAGCCATGGTAGGAGTCCTCCGCCCTTCATCTTACCAATTGTAAACTGCAGAAAGTTTCTCTTTAAATGGAAAGACAAACTATTTCCACATTTAGACTCTCTGTTTTTAATCTAACGGAAGATTTCTCCTCGTTTAGAAGCAGAGAAGAAACAGTAGAGTCGATTATTGTGGTTATCCTGATGAAGATTAATGACGTGAACAAACCACATCCCAGCAGGACGCTCATTAGCCATGAAAGCATTGAGCCTCAGCACTGATTACATCTGTGTTATGTGTGTGTAATACAGTGTGTTTTCCGTGTTCTCACCACATCAAGGATGAGCTTATTCACATCAAAGTTGGGTTTCTTCTTCATGCTGCGGATGACGCAGCTCTGGATCATGATGCCTCCACACTCCACCTGCAGGCTGGGAGAGGTAATGCTGGACAGCTGGAAGCTTTTCAGGTTACGAACGCCCCACGCTAAGATCTGACATACGGAACAGAACAGAGGTGAGACTCCTTATTGTCAATCAGCCTATCTTGTGTGAGTATTGTATGGATGAAATTTGTTGGTCAATTTTAATTGTTGTGAATTACAGCTAACCACGGCCGGGATCCTTCACACAGGTTCAAGCTACAAACTAACTAAAAAGTGTTGCTACTAACAAAGTTGACAGATATAATGTCCATATATATGTATATATATATATATATATACATATCTATATATATAACATTTGTATAATATAGGAATACCTCGATGGCTGTTCTTTGCAGAACAGGTTTGATTCCCTGAGGAACCACAAACACGTTGGCCTCTCTCTGAGGCGGGGGATGGGGAAGGTCCGACTCCTCCGGCTGCACAGGACAGTGATGGGTCAGTGACGGGATATCAACAGGACATAAACAAGAAAACACCAAAGAACAAGCCATGCTGTTTACTACTAGGCCAATTTAGTCTTTTTATTTAATGATGTAATGTTTTGTATGTTTGATGATGTTAAATCAAGTCAAGACAAATTCAGGTTTTTGATTAAAATCAGTCATTCAAAAAGTTATTTGCTGGTAGAATTTGTGTTGAAAGGCTGGAGAGGACATGTTTATTTGTCTGGTTTCATTCTGTTGTCTTCTGATTATTTATCTTTCAAACAGTAAATAACTTTTCAAAGAATGACTTCTGGTAAGCAAGGACACGAGTGGTTAGAATAGGAAACATATATGAGGGCTGGTGTGTTACACATAACTAAATGAACAGGACAAGTTTGTTTTAGTATTTATATATGTTCTTTTGTTCAGGGCTTTGTTCACATTGTACCCATTGCTGCAGGTTTTCAGCGAGGAATCCTGGAAACATCAACTGAGGAAGCAACATTGAAGAGAGATAAAAGAGAACAGTTGCAACAAAACGTAAAAGCACATTCGAAGATATGGACATTAATTTGACACGTTTACACAATTTTTGTTTCATTTTGAAGCAAGATGCTTGGACTGAAAAGTTTTGTTTCTTCAGAATTATTTATTATCCAATTTGTGGGCTTTACCTCGTCTAGAACATTGGTGGATGTCAGGATGTCTCCCTGTAGGTCAGAAACAGACAAGTCTAAACTTAAAGACTCAAAGTGTTTTGGACAGCAGGTTGAAAAAATAAAAATCCAGGAAAAAGGTTTAGGGTAAAAAAAAAAAAAATTGAAAGAGATGAAAAACTAACCTCTTGTCCTGGAAGATGGTGAACTGCTGGCTGTAGATACCAAAATAATGACAGTACTTTATTGAATGAATGCAACATGCATTTTTCTTATTGATACATGAACAGTTGAAAAGGATAACAACAAAGAGAGAACAGAAATACAAGCAGAAGATTAAGAAAGTTTTGATGATGTTGGTAAGGGTTGATCTCTGACCTTTTCTCTGCGTATGAGCTCAAAGGCGGCCAGCAGCTCGCCAGCGTTCTTGTCCCCTAAACGAATTGGGAACCAAGCCAGACGAGGGGCGGATGTAAGGGAGGGCTGACACACACAGCGGCCCATGAACTCATCGGCATTCTGGACATGGAAACCACATAGATATATATTATTATATATACACAATAAAATATATAATGTTCTTTTTCCCTGACACATGGGCCCAAGCAAGGAAAAAATGTGAACTAACTGCATGAAATTAATAAAAAATTCAGAGTTATCACACACTCACGTATGTGTCTGAGTCGTAAAGCTCCACCACAACGTTGGGTGGAGTTGCCATGGTGACCTCAGGGTCGCCAAAAATCTCCACCTCATAGAAGATGAGTGTCTGGTCCCAGGTGGGGTTTAGAGTGTTACGTACAGTCACTGTCTTCTGGGACTGATGCAGGAATGACACGATGGCGTAGGAGTCTGGAGAGAGAAAACAACCATACCTGAATGACCAGGAATATTTTCACACTTTAGATCTACCATGGCTACTTACTTATTACATCTCTGGCACTTTGATTCTGGCCCTTTACCTTGTTATTAATTTCTACATTGAGTGTGATGTGGCTGTTTTTTGTTTTTCTTTCTAGGGACTATTTGTAGATGTGAAAAAGGCATAATGTAACGTCTTCTTAGTGTGTGTGTTTGTGTGTTCTTATATTTCTGTCTTTCTAGGGACAGTAGCTAATTTCAGAAAAGAAAATGGAGGACATTGGCTGGTCATGAATATTCTTTTGTTTACTGTAAAATCTCGTAAAATTGTAAAATGTTGTTCTCTTTGGTTTTATCCAATGTTAACACAGAAACTTCAAACATTGATGATGTGAAAGTGTTTACTTTCTTTTGTTGTATATAGTCTGTATGAAGATCCTCACAAGTACAACAGAATAAATGTATGCCCAAACTATCCCAGCAGCATCCAAAACAGTGACATCAGTAACTTGGGAATGCCGCGCTAAAGACTGAGAGCTGGGAACACTGTTCGGAGAAGTTTGTTATTCCAGGTCACAACCACTCTCCTCCATGTTAACACAAACACACACAGCTCACAGTTTGGACACATGCATAAAGACACACATAAATGTACAGTTACACACACACACACACACACACACACACACACACACACACACACACACACACACACACACACACACACACACACAAAGTGAATAGTTTGTTATTTCAGGCCGAGTAAAGAGTCTCTGTGGAGCCGTTAGCAAAAGAGTAAACAGAAGCTAAGTTGCATTTTCCCACCAGCCTTCAATTAACCTTGGGACTGACACACAAACACACAAAAATACTGTACACACACACACACACATAATCTTCAGACACACCACCTATTGTGACCCATTCAATTATCGTCTATTCCCAGCAGCCCATTAGCTCATATAAACAGCAATACAAACAGCCCAGGGGGTTATGTAAGTTTCTGTGTGTGTGTGTATGAGTAGCCGTAGTTTGGACCCCAGCAGGAGCCACAAAGTACATAAACACAATGAAGACTAAGAAAAGAACGGTGAAGAGATGGCAAAAGATGGAGATGGGGGAGGGGGTAAGCAAAAGAGAGAGAGAGAGAGAGAGAGAGAGAGAGAGAGAGAGAGAGAGAGAGAGAAAGATAGGTGATAGAAATGCCATTGAGGAAAGAAGGAAGAGATGGAAGGAAGAAGTATCTGAATGTGGGAACATGAATCATCGCCAAAATATTTCCAAAAATAGGCAAATGGAAAAAAAACAGGCAAGAAAATGCGATGACAAACAAATATGAGGGCTTGTGCACAACAGAAATGTCATTTAAATGGAATGCAAGTGATCAGGCTTGGAAATGACAGCCAAGAAACCAATCAGTGCTGTTTTTGCTATCTGACTTTTGTCCTACCATTTTTTGTGGCCAAAAGGTAACTAATAATAGATAGATAAAGTTCTGTCAATTATTATGTCTAAGTTTAAGCCTCTCAAAAAATGACTATGAATAGAGAAAAATCCACATTTAACAAACAAGTCTTACTAAGCATCCTAAAAATTGACAGTATTTGACAGTTTTTTGTTTTCTGAATGAAGCTAATTTGTTACACTTTTAAAGCACATTATCGCAGCAACAGCATTTTAGCAACTGATGCTAGGAGAAGCTCTCACTCTTACATTTCGTGCCTTCAAATATATGGTGTTTCCAGTGTTTTGTTAATAACGAATCCATAGCCACGTAAGTTGAAGAAAACCTACAATAGTTTGCTAAGGTCGTCTTATATAGCATAGGTCATGAATGTGATTTTCTTTGGATGTTATGTTTAAGAGGATTTTCTTAGTAATGTCATATGTCAAAGAAAATGTTGAATTCACCAATGGCCTCATCCAAACCCTATGGAATTCTGCATTAGCCTTCATCCCCTAGCTAGCTGAATTAAATGTTAGCCTTTGTGGCTCAACAATGCTGAGAATTAATTAATTTATGGAATCATGCTGCTGTGAACAAGTAGCAGTGTTTTCATGATATATACGTCTTTAATATCAAGCACACTGTGCACATGGTTTCTCATATCAAAACCAGAAGCCAACACGTTTATTTTAAGGCAGTAACATTTGTGTTAACCATCACTGACACACAAACACACAAAAAATAGGTTGACAAGTTGACACATAAAGTGTCTTGAGATAACATTTGTTATGACCTGGCACTATACTTAACAATATTGATTGATTAATTGACGTGGAAGTAAACTAATTTCAGAGCAGGGAAAGAAAAGCAGCAGGTCCGATAAACATGGAGAGACGAGAGAAAAGGAAGAGAGAGAGAAAAAGAAAGACGGAAGTCTTTGATACTTTATTCAGTCTTTAATCATGACTGACCAGACACCATTAGACACCGGATTAACACACAACTCAAGCCCATCCATCAACTCTATTCATCCATTACACTGTGTATGTATGTGTGTGTGCGTTTCCTCCAAACCCCCTCTTTGACCAGCCTTTCTCTGTCATCTATCATTCCTCTCTTCCTCTGTCTATTCATCCTTCTGTTTTTTAAAGCTTCGTCTCTGTTTTCACATCTGAGTGCGGTTGGTTTCTGATTAACGCACACACAGAAGCTGTAGTTTCCATGACCTTCTTCAAATAAAAGAAAAACATTTTCTTTTTTTTCCCCCTCTGTTTCTGTGTCAACCTTTATTTTTATAACCTTACTTTCCCCTGTTCTGTCCCTCAGTCTTTCACTTTGCTAGGGAGAGCAGTACCACCAAGGCCCATTCATAATTTCATCTTTTTTAATACAAGCGCATATTAGTGATTCAAATCTTGCTCTTTGTCTCTGTTACTTAAAATAAAAGAAGTAAAACACAGCTTGGTTTAAAGCAACAATATGTATAAATTCTGTTTGGTGGGCTTTGAACTGAAGATCTCTGAGTGCAACAACACTGTTGTAAACTCATATTGCTGTCACGCCTCCCCCACTTAGAAAACGAGTTAACATTTGTTAGCATTCAGAGAGTGGTGAAGCCCGCAAAGGTTCAGTAATGTTACTGGATTTTGAGCAAATATGACTCTGCTAGTATCTTCAGACTGTTGTTTGCATATAGAGTATGTGTATGTGTGTTACTCTGTTAGCATAATGTCAATAGACCATGGCTAATTGGCTACATTAGAGAGGGTGATTTATTTTATGCTAGCTGAAATAGGTTTGTAAGATTCCAAACCTTTAACTTTAAGATCGACAAGGACAGAGACAACTTTTGTTACAAGATGGATTTATTACTACTTAAGGTAATATTTTGGTGACGAAAATGTCTCTGAACAATACCTGAGAAGCTGTCTTTGTCCATGGCTATCAGGTCTCTGGCTTGGTAGAGGTAGCACCGCAGATGGTAGCGGGTGCCACCTAGACACAAATACATACACACAAGAACATGTAATTAAATAGATAATAAAAAGAGGAAGGGTTAGAAATAATGACAAAGAAGTGCAACTCTGATGAGAGGGGGAGGGGAAGGGGGAGAGGGAAGGAATACATATTGTGTATCTTACGGTCAAAGAAACAAGAAATAGTCGGTCTGTTGACCCCGAACGTGGTTGTTACCGACTTGTCATCATTTTTGTCCTCTATGCTGCTCTGTGGACGGGAAGGGCAGATTGAGATCTCATTTAGAAAGACAGGAACAGGCAAACATGAGTTGAAAACCACAGGAGTACATTGCCGTACAGCATGGGGCCTTCAAAGTAAAAGACTGGACTTAATCTCAAGGTTTTAAAAAGTCTGAACGTACACGACAAAGAGTTTTTCATATTTTGGCTCCATAGTTCTGATGAATTCTTCGGCACATACAAGTATATTTTAGATGAAAAAGTGTGTTTTTACTTTGGGCTTTTTACTTTTGTGTCTCCTTCCTGATTAAACATGACAATGACCCCTTATACACAGAGCTAGATCCATGAAGAAACGTTTTTTTCAGTTAATTGCGGAAGAGTCCGACCTGCTCAGAGCAGATCCAACACTTTCTAATAGACAACAATTCAAATGTACACTAGGTGTTACTATCAAAATTCAGGTTGTGCAGGTGTCCACATACTTTTGGCCATGTAGTATATCTCAAATGTCATAATCAGATGCCGTAATGCTATAATTGTATTTTTTATCAGTGTATACTGACGAATGTGACGATAAATAAAACATATCAAAGACTTAGAGTCTGTTTCTTTCCTGTACCAGAGAACACTCCAGAGCAAAGATGGCCGCCGGTCCAGTCTTCTCCAGCGGCTCCATGCGGTACCTCCACCTGCGCCTCCTGAAGCTGTCCGTCTTCCTCGGCTTCAGGTGGAACTTCCAGCCAAACAGGGAGGCGTACTCCCAGCCCTCCCGCTCTGTGTCGTCTGGACGCTGCTGTTAGAGCACACACACACAAACACACACACAAACCATCTTAACCTCTGGGAGTTTCAGAGTTTCTGTGAATCATTTGTGCAACTATGTCACCATCTAGAGGCTTGTCGAGGAAACTTCAAGTGATGTCATTAGAGGATGAGCCTTCAGTTACTGGAGGGATGTTCAGGTCAAAAGCATTACATTTTAATACAATTAATACACGAGCACAAGAAACGGTGGTAAAAACAACTTTTAACTGATGAAAAGTATTCATTTTGAAATGTGTCTCTATCTTTGTTTCTACCTTTCTGAGTGCCTCCATCTTTTGCTGGTCCCGCCTTCTCAGTCGCATCCATCTTCTCCTCCGATTGGTGTGGTACATCTTCTCAGCTGTCACCCATGACTTGGGTCGGCGGTCTGGAGGGATGGTTATGCCATACTCCCAACCTGGAAACACACATACACAGTAACAGAATTGGAAATATAGATACTGGATATCATTTAGTTCCAACTGGAAAGTTTTGTTTTTTCTTGCGTTAGTGTGTATTCACCCTGTTCATCTACAGCCCTGTTGAGATCTTCACTCCACTCAACCTCCTCCCAAACCCAACCTGGAGGACACTCCACCTCATCTTTAGGCACCGCCTTCTCTCCATTCTGACACACATACAGTTTATGGATTAACAGACATAGGAGAAGTCACAAAAATGTAGAAACACCAACACGAACGAGTACAATATTTACATATACGTACCACATCAGTGTAGCCCTCCGGCATGCCGATCCACTGTCCACCTGGAAGTCTCATCTGGTTTTCAAACACTTCCTCTGTGAAGGTCATGTGACCAGCGTCCACATCAAACAGCAGTCTGAGGGACACAAACAGCACATGTCAATACACACAACCACACAAAATTATATTGGATAACTTGTTGACTTTGCCCATGAGTTCGTTTGAAAACAATGTTCTTATTTGCCAGTAAGTAGTAAAAGTATCTTTAGGATTTTTCAATTGTTTAGGATAAAATTTCAACCAAATGGGCCAGTGCGCCACTTCATATCAGCACTTATCAAAGTCTGTATTTCAAAAAAGTGAGATATGGAATTATAAGAATAATGACAGGGTTAATGATTGCACACTTACGTCTTCTCAGGGCTAATGAACCAGTCCCCGGCCCAGGTCCAACCAGGTGAGGGTTTGAAGCTCTCTTTGGGCAATTTGACTCTTCCAGTGATATCACTAAACTTCGGGTAGGTCAGACCTGTAGTTCCCCAGCTGCCCACCAGGGCAAGTCGGGTCTGGTTCTCATACTACACAGAGAGATGTAGAGATAGTTTTAATCATTTGATGACACTTTAAGAACAGAAGGTTTTGTTGCCCCCTAGTGTAGAATCATAAAGGTGTCATGCAAAGGATATAGGAATACGTGCAAAATCTGCAAAGTTCTAATAATTGAGATCCTACAAGTTATAATAGGATAAGGAAAAGTAGCATGACCAAAGTTTACTTAAAACACCTCCGCTATCGGTTGTATATAGTTAACTGCAAGTTTATGTTTTGTTGTGTAAAAATGTATTATTTATGTGTAGTCCTTTAAGCTTGTTGGGGTCAACATACTAAAGAAACAAAGCCTTAAAACACAGGCAAGAAAAGAGCCTAACAAATTGGTAACAAACTACATAATTATGACTTGTAGAGTTTATTAAAGTTAATTTCTTGCAAAATAAGTTAAGCTTTTATCTTTTGAATGTAACCATATAGTTTAAAAAAATGTGGAAAAACTCTCACCATAATTTTCTGTTCAGTATCTGTGTATCAGTAGCTGGGGAAACACTAAAATTTTACTTTACACTCACAAAGAAGGGGCGGGGCTTATCAAACAGTTGTAAGATTGAGTTTATGTGGCACTTTGGATTTATCGACACATCTTCACTCACAGCAGTAAATTTTACTTCTTACCGTTTCAGCAAACACCGACAGCTTTCCTTCAGCGTATTGGTTGAAATGTTTGGCATCAGCAGCCAATCCAAACCAGACTTTAACTCTCAGTTGACCAGGAAGTTTGGCTTCTCCACCGCTGCTCTGTGGATACTGCCGAACACATAAAAGCAGGGCAGTGGGAACTTTATTTTAGATTACATTATGTATTTTACCGAATGTGTGTGTGTGGTCTGTTTGTCTAGGTATCCTTTTTGGGACACTTGATTACGTGTAGTTCATTGGTAACCGCTTTAAGTCAGTGATAAAGGAGTCCCAGAAGTCCCCAGAAAATGAATGAAAGTGAATGTAATGTCCCCAGAAGTAACCTAAACACGTTTGTGTGTTTACCTTGAGAAAGACGGTCTGCAGCTGTCCACAGTGTTTCCCACAGTGCTCCTGGGAGAAGATTACAGTGTGTGCTGGGATGCGGTGATACGCCACCCTGCGGTCGCCCTGTAGCATCCATATCACTATGTCTGGAAGACTGTTCTGGGGCTGGGATGAGAAACATAAAAAACAGAGAAAAATAAAAAGATATAGAGAGAGAGAGAGAGAGAGAGAGAGAGAGAGAGAGAGAGAGAGAGAGAGAGAGAGAGAGAGAGAGAGAGAGAGAGAGAGCAGCAGAAAAGTGCTTAACATGGGAGGAAAGAAAAAATTATTAATCTGACAAAAATGATCACCAACATTTTTGTTCCTTTCAATATTTCAGAAAATAAGTTAGAAATATAAAATACAATTAACAAAAAAGTGTTAAATATTTTTTGTTTGTGTCCGAGTACTTATTCCAATTGCAAATGGAAAATTCTCATGAATAGTCATCCCAAAGATAAGTCCATGAAGTCTACAACTTCCTTAAAACGTTATTAACCAGTCTTCAATGATTATCATAAATAATCCACCTCCTCTGCCATGTTCCTCAGCCTGCTGGCCCAGTCCTCTGCCTGCTCCAGCACTGTTGAGAGTTCGGTGGCAGGTCCGTGCTTTAGAGCCAGCGCCCCCGCGACTATCTGCTGCAGGTGGAGAGTACGGATGTGCCTCAAAGAGCGATCCAGAGGGGTCGCACATTGCCACTGGTCAAGGGAGGGCAGCTCTTCACTGGACAAGGAGAGAGAGACAGACAAAGACAGGAAGTAACAGAAGTGTTGCATCTATTTGCAGTGTGATTTTATAGGGAAGAACGCAACAGTACTTTAACAGCGTTGGACATTATAAAAAGCAACACAGTTAAAAAGTTTAATGATCATTACCAGTTCTAAAACAACTATATCCAAACCCAAAGCACAGTGGTCTTCGTTGGAAAGTAGACAGTGTTTACCTGCAGTCTATGATGATCTGATCCAACATCTCAACCACTCGGAGCTCCACCTCCTCCAGGTCACTGCCTGCCTTCACTTCCAGGTTCACCCGCTGCAGGTTTGCCTCCTAAACAAACACAAACACATGTTTGGATGTTTACTGCTCTATGTGTATTTTAAGAAAATAATTAACTAAATAAAAAGTTTTCTCAATTTGATTCCCATCACACGAGAATAAATGCAACACCCACCAGTCTGTCTATGACAGCAAGAAGCCTGTTGAGAGCCTCAATTCTTGGTTGGATATCTTCCCACTCTGAAGACAGAACCACCACTGGCTTGATGTTTCCCCAGGGAAGGTAGTAGTAGTGACATCCTAGAACACAAACATGATACTGTTTGACAAAACACCATGTTCATCGAAACTATAAATGAAAAAATACATTTACAACTAAAACAGAAGAACAGATAACTAATTAGACTAATTACTAGAAAATTAAATAACAGTAAAAATTTAATGGAGTGAGACCTTCTGAACCAGTGATAAATAGGCAACTTTTATTGCAAACCTAGTTTAGCTGTTTACTTTTCAGCTACACCCATGTCAGGCAAATTCAGAAAATTATTCACATTTTTTTACACAAAATTATTCTGGTGCTTGTATGTCTATTTGAATGTCTTTTGACACTGCACAAAATACAGACGATTTTGACCTACCGTCAAAAACGGCTCTGCTGAACTGGGTGGTGGAGGCCAGAGGGAGGCAGGTGTAGTCAAACTTGTTGCCATAGTTACCAATGCTGACCTCAAACTGAATTGCATCATCGACGTCCTGGAGGAGAGTGGCTGAATAAAAAGCCACAAAGAGAGAGAACTTCCTCTTCCTGAGAAATTTCTGTTAGAAACACAAGGGAAGGATGGGTAGGAGAATGGCGATACCTCGTGACAGTTTTTCAAGCGTTATTACTGATAAATGTTTATAAAATGTCTTTTATTCCTCCTTACCTCGACCACCAGCAGGTCATCTGATGAAATATCTCCAGTTCTCTGCTCTGGCTTGTCAGCCAGCTTTGTTGTAAGTTCCATTAAAACTCGACCTCGGTATGCCACACCCTCTCCCTGACACAAAAAGGGTAAAGCATTCATTAAAATGTCAATGCCTTATTATCAAAATTATGTACAAACATTCATGCTATGAAATACCAAAATGCTTTATAAATCGTATCTTCTAGTTGAATATTGGAATGAAACCTGGAGATCTTGTAAGCACAAAACAGGGAATTTGCGCATTTCTTAAAGGGAGATGGGAATTTAAGAAGGTTTTTCATTACAAAGTTGAAAGTGGTCAGGACACGTTTTATTAGAGACATTTTCAACATTAACTCAGATTAATTTTAAAGGACGTTAGAACAAAAAAGCTAAACAATTAAGTGAAATTTGTATTTTGTATTATGATAATCTTTATGCTTTTCTGTGTCTCCAGTGATCATAAAATGGGAGTCAATGGATCTATATATAAAGAACTTACCACTCAAGATCTAGGTCTAGTCTCTTGCTGGTTTCTCCAAAGTTATTAATTCCAGCTTTGATTTGATAAGATGACTTTATTTTTAAGTGAAAAATAAATGTATAATTACTTTTCCAAGGTTTAGTGATTCGTGTGGATCGCTGAAGGCTGTGAACTCTCTGGGACTTCCGTACAGGTTGACAAAACATGGACCAAATGTTGGCAGGAAACCAAGACTGTCGTCAACTGGAATGACACAAAATTATCAACAGATTTAAAATGGGGAACGGTGTGAAACGAAGAAAATTATGAAGAGAATGATTGTCTTATTGAGGAAATGCTGAAAATGATATGCACTTGACAATAACTGATTTCAGAGAGTTTCATCAGAATTAAACAAAGATAGGAAAAGTTATGAGTTGAAAGAGGGGAAAATATACATCACAAAATATATTAAGTGAAACAGTGGCGATGACAACTGATCTGTTTCAGACAAAGAAAAAGAGGATGATGGACGTACTGCCAGAGTGGACGGTCCGTTGAGACAAGTCATCTGAATGCATAGAAAGGAAGGATGGTTCAGAATCACAGATAGATGATGTTCAGTGTTAAAGAGGAAACACCACTCAAACCCAAACAAATGCATTGGAAGACAAACTCAAGAGAATGCTGAATCCAAATGCCCATACTTTCCCTGGTCATTCAACTCAATAAAGAATCATCTGACTTATTTGCAAGTAAGTCACTTGAAACAAGATACTCCCCGTGAAGTGAGTGAAATTGTTAAATCTTTCCACCATGGAAGGGCAATAAACGCCACCATCCCGTCCCACTCACTTTAAGTGAGGTCTCCTTATTTTATCCTGCTGCGTTTATACATCAGCTCGGACTTCATATGTAAAAAAAATACTAGGGGGCTGGCTGGAGAAAGTCAGAATAAAGTCAGAGTGAATAATTTGATCCCCCAAAAACTTCAGGAGTTTTGTGCAGGTGTGAACAAGGTTTTAGTCTTAAGTAAACCCATCAGTGAATCCATCAGTAACTGTTTACATTATTAAAAGAATTACTTTTATTAATGATCAACAGAGAAAGAGGTGTAGAACTCATGCAGGTCTTCTTGCCTTGGGCGACGTGACTGTGAGGCACTCCAAGGACGGAAAAACCAAGCATGGAATGTGTTCAAAGGACAATCATTTGAGTGGACGGTTAGTTAGTCCTCATGCATCTTAATGCAAAATACTCCATGCTTTGTTATAGTCACGTACTACAGTTACAGGTGGTCCAAAACTTGATTTATTTTATCAAAACTGAAGATTAATTATTACAATAAACTACAGAGCAAACCCTGAAATTCCAAATGGACGCTCTTACGACGCTTCTTATGAATGTGTGGAATATATTATTTAATCTTTAAAAACAATGATTAAAAATATGGAATTAGTGATCTTGGTAAAACTGAACGATCTGTATACCAGTTCAGTCACCAGTTATTCGGAAATCTGCAGAATTGAACCACTGGCCAACTCGACTTAAAAGTTTCTCATCCTTGGATCTTATGATGACTGAGCCAAACCAGACAAGTTAAGTAGCAAAAGACAACGCCAGGGCATTTCAGCCTAAAACATTCCAAGCCAGACTGGCAGGGTCCAGTCCAGCATAGACCAGTTTTAGACTTGACTTACTTGACTTCCTTTAGATGCTTACTCACCATCAATCTCTCCACCAGGAGCCGAAATCTTAGACATGCAGAGATGGGTGGAGCCGATGACATCGTTGTGACTGGCTCTGTCCCTGGAAGGAGATAAAGAAGAATCCGAAGCTCTGACACAAGCTTTTATAAAAAAAAAACCTGCCAAGATATTCTCAAATATACTCAACGGTCAAGTTGTGGCCCAGTGAAAAACAGACTTCAGACAGGTTTTTCAAGTTATATGCAAAATTCCTCCTATTATGAAGACATAAATCAAAAAGAAACAATAAATAATGTCTATATATCATTTGGGATTCACCAGTCGAGAATTCTGATCCTCATCTTCTCACACATGGAGGGAAACTAGGAAAGAAAAAACAAGAACATATTAAATTGCAATTCTGCTTAGCTCATGTGTCTTGGTAGCATAATCATTTGGGTTTCTCACCCTAATAGGCATAGTGAGACTCTGGTTCCATTGTGGATTGGCGTTCTTCTCCAGAATCTTAGTGCAGATCTTAAACAGAAGGAAATCCAAAACACCTTAAATGACTGGATTCTGAATGTAATGCTGGGAATTAAGCTTTTGTATATATTGGATGTCTTTGACAATTGTTAAAGGATGTCATACCGTTTTTCCAGCAAAGTGGATTTCCACCAGAGGATCAACAAGGTTCTTCCTGTTGCTGTCAAACCCAAAAACCTGCCTCATCCCATCCATGAAGGCATCGTCCACTGCAGAAAGTAGAGCAGAAATATATTGTAAATCTAAATTTCTAACTTAGATGACTGAGTAATAAATAACGCAGGCTAACTTTGTGGCAGGTCTTCAGCTCGGAAGATCCTCAGGGTGAAGGTGGCTCCTCTCAGAGACAGACCGGCTGGTCTCAGCAGGTTTCCTTCAATATCTTCTTTGTCCTCCACACACTCACGTCTATCAGCCTGTCGGATACAGAGATGCAAATTTCCACAAATTTTCCACAACTTTACATAGCTTTAGTACATAACAACAATTGGACAATTATTAGTTATTTTGTTTCAAACCATTCATGTCACTCACCGGGGGCTCGTCTCCAGCGGCCAACACCAACAAGCTGACCTTCAGGTAACCTTTGACTCCAGCAGAGAGGTCGTCAGGATCACACAGCAGCAGCCATTTCCTCAAGAAGCAGTGTCCTTAAGAGAGAGAGAGGTGGGTTTATTCTTAAAACTTAGAACTGACTCAATATATACAATGGTTAATGTTATAACACAAACTAAGAAGGTAAAATACCCTAAAAATGAATGTGTAGTTTTGGTCGGCATATACGTATACTCACTGTGCTCATTGTAGACAGTGCCGACATCTAACTGTAGGAACAAAATAACTACAGTTTAGATGTTTTTGCATTTGCCTTCTGTTTTTCTAAGCTGAATTTGCCAAACTAAAAAAGAAACACCATCACAGAGCAAACCCTCCATCAGATATATTTTTCATTCCAATGTCATTTGAAACAGTCAAAAGTTGGAAAGGTGAAAGTTTACCTTGAATTCACCAATCACAGCATCAGTTCGGAGTGAGCGAGAGTCACATACCTGGTGGTTAGAAAAAAATAACTTTATCTAGGTGAAAAGGGTTCAAGATTTTCAGTGGTCCAAAATACAATATGGCAGTTCTGAATCCATCCTCCTCTGAAAGGAATACACATTTTAGAGCAAAGATGTACTCACGGTGATAAAGATGGGCTCATCAAACAGATCTGTCGGAGTCTCAAAGAAGTTCATAAAGAACGTCTGTGAAGAGGAAAACACTTAAATGACTGAGAAAGGGATGCAATGTTTGAATAAGAGGCTGACAGTATTTGTAACTTTTTTAAATTCCTGGTTACCTCATCAAAAATCGGGTTGTTGCCTTTTCTAATGCGGGTCCTCTTGGTTTGCCCGGCAACCATGACATTGACAACAGGCTTGATGTTGATGCCTGGCAACTGTCGGCCTTCGATGATCCGCACACGAACCTGAAAATAAAAATAAGGACAATAATAATTAAATGAACTAAAAGCAGTTTCCTTCTGCTGCTTAATATTCACTGGTCTAGACCTACAAATTTGTCCAACACCAGCAATTAAAGCCAGCCAAAACAATTTGCAACCAGATGAGGTGTTGCTTTTCAACTGGCAAGGCAGGCAGGTGCTTGGAGCTTCAGGCCAGTAGGGGGCCCCAGAGAGCCAACAATCTTTAAACCACAGCAGCGGCTCAAAATGTACAATGTTTGCAATGACTGTAGAAACGTTCCTAAGGGGCCCCATCTGACAGCATCACTCTGGTTGCACTAGCCAGCTTCTCTTGCAATATTGCTGTGCAAAAAGATTGTCAATGGAAGTAACTGAAGGAAAATTAAGACTAATTATATGACTATGTATAGCAGAGATGAACCTGGTGGTACAAACCTGTAAGTCTTGTGGTTTGTTGGGCAGTGGTTTGGACTGACGGCTTCCTCCTCTCCTCCTCTTCCGCAGACCTCCATGGGTGTTGTAGGACGGTGGTGAGCGTTTTGGTATCTGGGCAGCGGGGGACTCGTGGCCTGAAGGCCCCTGAGGGCCGACAATAATCATGGATCGTCCGTCGTCCTGACCTTGGTCCTCAGGCGGCTCCACCATTATCATACTCTCCGTGTCCTCCTCGCCCAAAGTGTCCAGAGAAATCACTACAGAGACAGACAAGGGGAAGAACAAAAATTAAATGTGACATTTTTTGACATGATTGGCCATGGATTCCCTTAATGTCCAAAAGGTTATAAAACAGTGATTTTCTTACTTGTGACGGTGTCTAGCTCCACATTGGGGTTGTTATGTGAAAAGCTCTCAGGCTGGTGAGGAGGCTGGAAGATTGGAGCCAATCCTGGAGGAGGAATGTAGGACACCTGCAGGGTCAGCGTGGCCTGGGGGAAGAAGAAGGCATACAGATAATTACAGTATGATATAAGTGGACCTCGACTTCTATGGAACAATTATTTGGTTTCATAAAGGAATGTAAGGGATGAGACTATTGGGCTTGGGTTTGAAAAGAGTGATGAATGAAACCATAATTTGAAAAGCTCAAACTGTTGTTGAATGACATACAATTGTCGACACTATTTTTGCAATAATATGAAATTGCGTCACACTTGAAATGAAAAAAAAGAGACAGATAGAGGTATGGTTGTTTTTCTGACTAAGGGATGTCTTTCTTTATTTTAAGATCCAGACAGGAAGCTCAGAGTGATTTACGATTCGTCACTGTTCCATGATACAATGAGACTGTAAATAAATCTGGATGTGCTTTACAGTGTGTGTGTGTGTGTGTGTGTGTGTGTGTGTGTGTGTGTGTGTGTGTGCCTACCCCTGTGTTGTTTCTTTTGGTGTCCAGCAGTGAGATGGTGAAGGAGGCGGCCAGGTTCGGAGAGTTGAGCACATCCCTGAGGGCCAGCCGGCTTTCCCCCAGAAACCTTAAACCAACAAACACAAAATTAAAATGTCTTCAAGTGTGGTATGTAATACACAACTAGCCTTACATTGACCTAAACTATTTAAATGCTAAAAAGTGAGTATGCACAGGTTGGATAAAATAATTCAATCCAGCTCAAATTTTATGAGACTGTGATTGTGAAGTATAGATTCGGCCAAGTGCAGAAAAACTGTTAAATAACCTTTATTTATAATGAATTTTCCTAATTCTAAATTTCAAAGTGCTTCTGAAAAGCAGCAAATAAAACCAACAACTGTGTGTATTAGGCTGACTTGTATGGCAAATAACCAAATGAGCAACAGGCTTAAGAAATAATTGAGGTAAAAACAATCAGAAGCAGCTTTTTAAAGTCTTTCTGTGATTGCTTTACTTGTGCTACGTCAAAGTGAATTTTCTGCAACTAGATTGTCCAGAGTTCCCACTCGGTTCTGAATGTAGCACAAGCGGTTGATGAATGGACTAGTAAATCAAACAACATATCAGCCTGTGAATGGGTGGAAACAGGAGTGAATAAATACCCAATGATCACAATGAGAGGATGATCTGATTCCTTCATGGCTGGCCCTACCCCCTCTGAATGAAATCCATAACACTTGACATCTTGAAGAAGTGGATCAGTCCAAAAATAGCCATCTGAAGGGGTGTTTTCAATAAACAAACAAATCTGGACCATGACCCACACCCTGACCATTCCCTGCATGAGTTTTGTCCAGTTCATCTACCACACTTGATTGATCTGTGTTCATTTTGCTTCTGATATGTCTTGTAGGATATGGCAAATACGAGAAAGTGATGTTTAAAAGGCTAACAAGTTGATTGTCATTGGAGTTGGCATCTACAGAAAAGGGCATTGGACATCCGATAACATCTTTGACAAAGTACCATACCATTCAGGCAGAGGCTATTCTAAAATAATCTCATTATACCATTAATAGAATAACACAAGTAATTTATCTAACCACTGTTAGTGTCCAGTGGTTGCTATGGTCACCAAGTGAACAACATTGGCATGTTGAAAAGGTTTTTATATAGATACCTGCCTGGTTATATACTGTATGGACTACACTGCCATAAAAAAAAACCAGTAAGTACCTGTTCCTCCCCATCTTCTCATGGTCTTTGACAACACAGTGCAGCTCAGCTCCAGAGTCCAGAGGAATCCCCTTCAAATCCCACTCAAAACCCTTACAGGACAGGAAACATGTGGAATATGTAAGGAAGTTTGTACATTGGGTGTTTTGGATGGGCGGGGGGAGAAATGTTTTTAGCAGTTTGAATATTTTCTAATGAAATTAATGAAAACTTTCTCTTGAAGCTGTAATAAACCACCATCCACCATTTGAAAAATGACAAGCAAGGTGTTCTCAGCACATTTATCATAGCTTTACATTTTCTGTAGTTCAAGTGCAAATAATGAATACTTTGAGGCTGTATACAGGGCGTACCTCGTTCCAGACAGGGTTAGGGTTGTTCTTGATGACCTTGGTCTTCTTCTTGGAACCTGAAGCCAACCAAGAAATGGGAAGGTTAAAGCATAGCATAAGAGATGGTCAATTTAACATTTTGGATCCAGACTGTAAGATCCCATGACACTGCTAATGTTGCTTTCTTACGTCTAAAGCCCAAAACATTTGGAGGTACCTGAGAAAACGTTTTGACAGCTATGAAGTGATCAGCCAAGACACTTTAAATATCGAACAATGTATTGACCTGAATTACATCCCAAAGATGGTCTCTTCAATGCATGGCTTCTTTAATAACCTTCAGTCTGCAGAGTCAGACTAAAGGTTATTAAAGAAGCCATGCATTGAAGAGACCATCAATGGGAAGTAAAACATGACTCAATGCTAAAATCTTTCCAATCATTTGACCTTTCAGATGAACACAAACAGTGTTGCAAACAAATGTTGTGTATGTATGTGGTTGTTATCTTTCTGTGGTTTCCTGCAACATAGAGTTCAGAGCTCTGATTTCCTGTCTGCTGGAAAGGAAGTAAGATGATAAACTGACCTAAAGGTTATTGTGGTTTCTTTATTGGACTACTGTAAAACCTGTAAACGTTGCATTACTTTAAAACGATTGTGTGGAACGACTAAAACACAAGTTAACTCTTCAGCCAGAACACCAACCACATGCAATGCAGTTGTCCTATTGATACAAAGAGAGGTTGATTAAGCCAAATTTCCTCCATCTTTTCAAGTTTGTCGCACAACTTATTGCCTATTTGGATTCACACTTGCATTCTTATTGTGCATACACACACATACAGGCATTCTTTCTCTCCTAACACACACCCAGAGAATGGATGTTTTCTTTCCTGTTTTGTCCACGGTCATCACCCCATTTGAGAACACACAAACATGAACCTTATTACGCAGTAACACCCACACAAATACCTACGCAAGTGTACCTCCGCTCGGGGAATAAATCTTCAAAAACACCTCCACCCTTCCACATAGGGGTCAAGAGGGTACTTTATGTTTGTGTGTGTGCGTGCATGTGTGTGAACTGCGTAAGCCTCCCAAGAGCTGAAATCTGAGCTAGCATCTCGGAGACAGGAAGTGGCACAGCACTGACTTCCTGGTTGGTATTGCTTGGCACCGTTTCTGTCATGAGCTGAGAATAGAACAAGCTTTGACCCATGGCGCTGTTAAATACGTAAGGGACAGCTATGTTTAGACATAGACTGAGTGTGTGTTTGTGTTAGTGTGTGTCTCGTTCAGAAGTTAAGAGCTTGAGGTGAAGTTAAGAAATTAAGCAGAAGTCTAAAATATTGGTATTCTGGTTTCTCAATCACTGCTCATATCTCAAATATTAGCAAAGACCAAGTAGAAGACTTGCCAGAGATTTCATTCTGATTTTGATTGAAAACACTGATAGGTCCAATAAAAACACTTTGTCTGGAAATCCGTCAGTCAGCATACAAACACAATTACACTTCCACATTTTATCGCAGGCACACTTGCACAGTTATGAAGATGCAGATGCATTGACTTAAAAATAACGTCCAGGTGAAGAAATACATCCAGGAGATTATTCTATACTTCGCAGTACTAACATCTTCATTTGAAGCAAGAACTTGCCCGCTGAAGCAACAGCGTCACAGGTGGTCAGCATTGCAAGAGTTCTATTAAATCAGTAGAGATTGGTAATTATTGCAAAGTTTATGCAAGATTTCTGCAGAAATAGTCAAATCATCGTGGACAAATCAAATAGTAGGATGTCTAAGGTTATGTTCTCCATTGGATTGGATGAAATTGCTGCTAAAATCTGTTCAAGAACAAAGAAAGTCAAACCCAATCCTTAATTTTTTATTCATTGTTTTCCTTTCATCCACTGTAGAGATAGGACAGTGAACAGATTCAGATATCATGGAGAGAAATGTTTTGAATTCTCAGATTCTCTCTCTCTCTCTTTTCTTTTTCCAGTCTCAGCTTCCTGACTTTTTAAACTCAACTGTTATTTCTATAAATGGACATGGTATCTGTTCACTGCACAAATGGGACCCTCTCTCTCTTTCTCCATTTGCTCTAAATTCCTGAAGTTGTTACAACCCAGAATCACTTGACTTGACAGTTACCCATAAGGCTATATTAAACTTTTGACTACAAAGATGTAAATAAAGCCTTCTCCTCAGCAACCAAAACAGTTCATGGTACTGCAATAAAATACAAATGGTTTCTGGATTTAAAAACTTTGCAATCAAACTGTTTCCATTCAGTTTCTGTTTGTGCCTTTTGCTCCAATAGGAATTCAAGCATGTGTGTGATGGCACCAGGAAACAGAGTCAAGACAAAGGCAGGAAGTTGACTGCAGCGCTCACCTCGTTAAGAAGGCAGACACTGACTCGCGATACAAGTAGAACAACAAACGGATGGAAAACCAGACCAGGTAGCCAAGTCACCTTCAACCCTCTGCCATTTGGCATGTCCACCTTAATGTGACTTCCAACAAGCTCACTCGCTCACTGCAGTCAGATATATTCATCATTGGTTTGAGATGTGCTGGAGAAATACCAATGCAAGATTTTATTTTTGTTAAACTTATAATGAGGTTAGTCCACAGAAAGAAACCCAAAAGGAAAGCAAAAAATAGTTACATTACTTTTCAGGTGTTTCTCAAACCTGATTTGGATTTTCACTCAATGAGACTTGATTCTCCTACAATTAGAAGTTTGACTTTCAAGAAAAACACTCTAGTCTAAAAGAAAACCCAACAAGTGAACATAAAAACAAAAAATAGACAGCTCTAGACTGCATGATTACTCGCATTTGGATTCTCTAGACCCAACCTTAATTTCCCGTCAATTTTTTGAGACTTGACAATTCCTTTGACACACCTATCACTTCTTGCATGATTGAATGGAAGACCTGGTTTCAATGGTGCTAGCAGGCCAAAGGTTCTCGCCAACCAGAACTATTTCTGCAGTGTCCGGGGTGCACATGGCACGATTGCAGCTTGTCCTCCAACAATGCAGCCAAATACCTAGGTTGTCCCCCCCAATCTCTGACAGGACCAACAACAGGAGGATTCCCTTCTTTAGTGCCTCAACTGATGGCAGGAAACAGGTACTCATACTTTCCCATTTGTACCAGACACATTTTGTGAATTTGATTTTGGTATGATCTAGGACTAAAACAAGACTTTAAGTGTAGTAAAAAGATTGTGATTTGGTTTAAATTAATACTCAAGTCAATTCGAGTACCCTGTCACACAACAAATGTCACATTGCATGCATAGCTTCATGTATGCAAGTGCCATTTTCTTGTCTTGATGAATTTTCCCATTAATCCCCGACTATCATAGGATGAAAGTCCAATGTTATTTGATCGACAGCCATCTGCCGACAGAGCAAAGTTGGTTGGGCTACCCCTCAGTCCTACACCCTTCACGGTGACTACAAGGATCATAGTGCTTTAGCTTTTACAACAATGCCTGATGAGTCTACCGGACAGTACTGCCGTCATTTATCTTGCAAATCCCCCGAGTCTACAATGGTCCTCTTACCTCTGAAGCTGACACTAGCCAGGGGGTTGGAGTGTCTCAGGTTGTAGGCTTGCTGGAGAACGCAACGCAACATGGCTGAAACTTTGGCTGAGTCCTGAAACCAATGATGCTTGTCAAAACCAAGCTTGGAAAGGAAGAAATGAGGTCTGACTGGGAGGTGATTTAGCCGCCAATGTGAGAGGCATCCAGGGCTGATGGGACGGTGGGTTACATGGCCCAGTAGGCTTCGAGATTGAAAATAACCAGAGTGTTACACCACCGAAAGTAACCAAAAAAAGGACAAAATAAAGGCAAAAAGGAGAACATAAAAATTAAACTGCCAACGAAAAAGCCCTTAGTTAAATGAAAATGTTTTCCAAAGAAGGTATCCACTTCGAAAAAAGGACTCAAACTCAGAGCCTTCAAGAATCTCAGTAAATAAAGCCCTCAGTAACTAAAGTTTGAAAAGATGTGCGATTCTGCTCTGTCCTACAGAATAGGAAATAAAATCTCAAAAGTGTTGTCGTCCTCACATGTTCAGCTTGTCTTTACTGCCTCTCCCTGACACACTTACTGGGAAAGCGGGCAACAACTGAGCCTTTTTCAGGAAAACCCACACACCTCACATCCAGAGGAAATCTCAACATTTCCTGTTCTCTTTTCCTCTCTTGTCTCCTGGTTGTGTCCCTATCTTTGGCCACATCTTTGACGCTCCATTGGTCGGAACATTCTCCACAGTTATTTATATCTGTCCTCTGATATCTCTATCTTAAAAAAGTAAATCTTTGTTTGGGCTTTTCCTGGATTTATTTCAATCTAGGTTTAGGGTTAGGGTTAGTAAACTGTCAAAGTCTATTAAACCTTGTGCCATCAAGAAAATTGGCATTTAGTTACATTCCATTGTTAAAAATGGACACATAAACAGCAAAGGTTATAAATGATAAATCAATGCTTATTAAACATGAAATTCTTTTGGAAGTGCAGATGGAACCAACAAGTTCAAAAGAAAAACTTGTTAACTAGATGAGGGATCCAACATTCGACTTAGACGATAAATTCAAGGACCTTAAGTGTTCTAATGATCTCATGTTGCACAAATTGAGGGATTCAAAACAGCTTTGATCAAAGTCAAAATGATCTCAAGGCAGGGTTTGTCCATTGAGGTCAGGCCAGGGCCAGAAATCCCAAGATTCTTTTGCGTCAGGGATCTGAATTTCTTAACCAAACTGAAAGACTTTCAGTGAATTAACTTACAATTCAAGCCCTTTTATAAACCTGTCAGTGATCCTTTCCGATGTCTCAGATCTTATCCAAAACATGAATACACAAATACAATAGTCAACAATGGAGAGTGGGAAAGAAAGCAACAGACAGATGCATGAACAACTTGCGCCACCTACAGACAGAAATCAGGGCAACACACACACTGTCTCACTTGTAGTAAGGGGATTGTCTGAAACACAGGACAAATTAGTACCATTGGGTCAACAGGTATCAAAAATCTTCTCTGTCTATATTACAAATCTATAAATAAACTCTTTAAAAAAGGGAGTTTGATTAAGATTGTTTTTTGCAATTTTGCAATCCCATTCTTCTGGTGTCAACCACAGTTTAAAAGTTCACAGAGTCTGTACTCCGTGTGCTACTTAGAAAGACATTTGTAGAAAATGGATTCCTTTGAGGATTCAGTCCGGTCTCATATCTGTGCTTCAGGGTTTATAAACAATTATCTCTCTGTCGACTACAGGCAGCATGAAAATATTTCATGCAAATCATGTTCTCTGTATCATGTGGAGCTTTGAACCTATGTGTTCTAGATGAAATAGATAAAGTGATTTTAAATCTCTTAGCCGTCTGCAGTGACACAACACTCTTTCTGCAGAATAAAAGTTGTTTACAAGGTGGGAGTATAGTTTAGTTTTTAGTTTAGATTTTTATTTTATTATTGTGTCATACATACATCCATATGCCCAGCCCACATGGGCTTACATGACACATTAAATTAAAAATGTTCCCGGATCAGAGTGCACTAGGTAAGCTATATTCATTGTCAGGAAACAAAAAGAGAAAGCAAGAAGTCAAACTAATTAAACAGAATATCCTGTCTTTGGGGCGCGCTGGTGGCGCAATGGTTAGGGCACGCGCCCCACGTATTGAGACTCTCGTCTCAAGCGATAGGCCCTGGTTCGCTTCCACCCATGGCCCCTTCCACATGTCATTCCCCGCTCTCTCTCCCTGGTTTCCAACTCTATCCACTGTCCTCTCTCTGCATTAAAGGCACAAAAAGCCCAAAATAAATCTTTTTTAAAAAAAAGAATATCCTGTCTTCTTTTCCAAGCTTTTTGAAACAAAATTAGCAAGTTTAAACACATCAGGGGCGCACTGGTGGCGCAGTGGTTAGGGCGCGCACCCCATGTATTGAGGCTCTCATCTCGAGCGGGAAGCCCAGGTTCGCTTCCACCCGTGGCCTCTTTCCACATGTCATTCCCCGCTCTCTCTCCCTGGTTTCCGACTCTATCCACTGTCCTATCTCTGCATTAAAGGCACAAAAAGCCCAAAAATAAATCTTTAAAAAAAAAGTTTAAACACATCAAACTTAAACAGCCATTCCAGTTTCTGCACATCTGTCCACCCCGATATTTCAGATTTTACTTCATGAAACAAAAATTCTCTTAAATCATCATATTTTATACAATGCAAAAGAAAATGGGACTCCGTTTCAACTTCGTCCAACTCACACATCTCACAGAGTCTGTTTTCTACTGGAATATTTTTGAATCGACCAACTTCAACAGCCAGACGGAGAATACCAGATCTTAACTGTATATGTAACTTAGTATATGTGAGAAAATATGAATTTGTTGTAGTCCTTAAGTTGATACTTTATTTCCCTTGTGGTCAACAGGATACGAGTGGTTTAGGTGCGATTGGAACAGCAAATGTCACAGACACAGTACAATATATTTTACATTACAATGGAACCATCAATAAAACCTTCAATGTCATTGACAAAGCAGATGTTCTTTCAAAAAGACCAATGACTTCACAGGAAATGTCTGAGAAATGGCTGTTTTAATGCAAGGAATGCAGCGATGTTTAAAGAGAGCCAAGAGCATGATGGAGCAATTTAAAGGTCTATATGTGAGTCAGGGCAGAGGCAGCAGGCCAGATGCCTTTTATATGTAATCTTTTGTATTTTATTTGAGAGATAAGAGATCTTCTCGAACAACCTTTGAAGGTATAGTGCACTCTGAACGGAAGAAATGATGCAGCAGATTTTTCAGAGCAGCTCCCAGCAGACGTATTAACACAGATTAAATATCAGATATCATCCAGAGAGGAGAGGCTGAGTAAACCTGCAGTTTTTCTTTGATGCCGTCATAGTGTATTACAGATCATCGTCGCCATGAACACTGGAAATGGACGGCTATACGCCTTGACATTTAAACTGAATGCTAAGCTATTTGAAATTCCCTTGATATTTACCTTTATTCTAGTCAGCATCAATCAGTAAAAGGAAAAGAAAACATGTTATTTTGTTTAAAGGCTTTATATGTGATTTTCACACTAAAATATAATAGAAATCAAGTATATCCTCTGAAAATAACTCTGTGAGTCATGACTGTCTACAATGGGTGTAACACCCGAGTCCCACTGTCTGCGATGTTTTCAGAGTTTTCAGAGTCCTATCTTCAGTTTGTTCACATCGCCCGGACGGCTGGCTGACTCCTCCCCTCGTGTATAAAAGTTGTTTAATTGAGAGACTAGAGAAAAGAAGAATAACATACTGTACTCACTGCTTAACTGTGTTTCTAGATCACGCTCATTTCAGGTAAATTTACATGCAGTGTGAAGATACCAGCATAATAAAGATCGCTAGCATTAGCATGCTAACACAACAATGCAGTGCGAGGGGCCCCTCCATCACATAATCATATGGCAATATTGGGATTTATGCGTCAGACATTGGCAACGTCTGGTTTTGTGTTGGACCTTGCCAATGTTTTAGTGTAATTTAGACAGTTTTGCATTTTTGATGATTGCCTTCTTCTCTGACACACCTGTCTTATGAACAGCAAATCATTTTTTTTATCAAGCTTTGGTACTTTGGTACCTTTTGATACCATCAATCACTGAAATACAGAGAGTATTCTCTTAAAATGTGTGATATCAAACAGCATTGACGGTGGACACTTTTGACAACTTTCATTTAAACCTTTTAATGGTTTATTGGTAGTTATAGTAATGTCTGAGGGGGGGCTTGGGGCTGTGGTGAAGGGGCCCAATGTGCAGTGGCAATTTATAGAGTCCACTGGGGCCCAAGGCAAAAATCAGTTAGGGGGCCCTACAACCAGTTTTCAGCAGGGCAATGAGAGTGAATGCTGTCAGATTGGGCCCCCTTAGGAAGGTTTCCTACTGTCATTACTAAAATTTTACACATTATGGTTCGTTGCTTTAGTTAACATTTTGTCAACCCTTTGTGGCCCCCTACTGGTCTGCGGGCCCCAAGCAGTTGCCTGCCTTGCCTGTTGACAAGCAGCGCCTCTGCCGATGTGAGATATAGTTCTTATGAAGGCCCAGATATCCTGGAGACGCCCCTGGACCCAAGTGTAAAAATAATGGTATTATTTGTAATCTTAAGAATAGAAAAATCTGTTAAACTATTATTGGAATTTGTGGAGACACACTTCAGGCACTGCTCTATATTTCACAGGGAAACTTTTTGTGCTGCATCAGTGTCATGAGTTTATAACACACTGACTGTGCCAGAAAACCACGGCTCTGTTTTCTACTGCACACATTACTTTCAGTTTACCTCTGGCGTTCCTTAAGTGGGTTACAGGATTTTCCCCCAGATCTTTATAATAACACAATGACAAAATATGTGACTATACTTTAAAGAAGGGTTGTTTTCTTTCTGTGACAAAACTTCTAAAGAAACACAAAATACTCTTGGGGGGGATAATTGGAAAAAAAATCTTTGCAAATTGAGGTCAAGTTTTTACCCTAACTTTCTGGGAGATGCAGGGTTTCTGTAGTAAATGTTAAATCGGCATGTTTTCTGAAGTTTCATAGTCGAAGACAAATCAGTATTTTGCACATTTTTTACTTTTTCATCAATATTAATTCAATTACCGGTAAACTTTTTCTCGAGTGATGTCACATTAGGGGTTAAATTATGCAGAAAATGTTTAAGGACAAAAGAAAAATTATTGGACCATTTTTTAAAAAAACTAAATGAAGGGAGGATGTGAATACTTTGCCTAATTCTGCCTTCTTTTTGGTATAAATCGTCATGTTGTAGCACTTGGATCGAATTTGTTATGAAGTTTATAAGTTAGCCGACATTTCTAGTTGAGGAAGTTTAGCACAGGACTGAATCTGCATGCAGGATTTTGTTTATTTCTCATGCACATGTTGGCAGGTGGGAAGAACAAGGAGATGAACAATAATAGAAACGTTTAGCTGAATAATAAGATTGACAAGCAGCTGAGTGGCTTGCTCCATGATTATTGGATTCTCTTTGTAACTGCATCCTCCTCTGTTTCCCCATCATCCCCTCTTGTGCTCGCTCTCTCTCTCTCTCTCTCTCTCTCTTTGCCCCACCCCGAACAGACTGGAAGCTATGAAACAAGACTGCCAGAGGCTTTTCCAATAATAACCTCAGCTGTCATAGAGAAGTTTTTAAACTGTATCTCCATTTCTTTCTTTCTCCTGTTAAATCTTAGCCTCTCTCTCTCTCTCTCTCTCTCTCTCTTTTCCTCACACAAACACACACATCAACACGCACACCCATGCACACACCACCCCTACCTTCATAGGTGACGCTGCAGTAGGAATCGCTGACGTCATCGTCCGGCGTTTGCAGTCGCTCGGCACACAGAATAAACACACGCAGCATGGCTCACACACATACACACACACGAGACAGCAGAGATGTGTCAAATCACACCAACAATCACAGGTAAGTCCATATATGGGCGTTGATTCCTCCCCAAAAAAATATCCTCAAAATGAGATAATGTCCATAAAAGCAGACAAGTGGAGAGAGGAAAAGGCTGACAAGAGACACTGAGGACAGATAGAGACTGAGACAGCCACCGTTAGAGCTGCAGCTCTCAGCTGTCTCGCTCAACCCCCCCACTCTCCCTCTCTCTAACACACACACACACACACACCACACCACACACAGCAAGCATGGTGCACCAGCTGACTCATGCACTCACACACGCTCTATCACAAACACACTGTCCCTTCAATCACAGCCAGCTTAAAGGGCCAGCAACACACAAGCACACACACACAGACACACACAGACACAGACACACACAGACACACACACACACAGACACACACACACACACACACACACACACACACACAAAGGCCTTTATTTTCAGTGCACATGTGCCTGCACACAATCAGCAATACAAGCTCTGCCAACTTAAACCAACACATAGGAGGGTCACACACACACACAAGTACAGACACAGACACAGACACAGACACAGAGACACACACACACACACACACACACACACACACACACAGAAAAAGGTCAGGAGTGTGAGCACACAAAAGAATGTGCTTGTTGATGCAGATTGTTGCAGCTACAGAAAGAGAATGACACAAGATAAAAAGTTATAGTTTCATATTTTAGGTGAGGTTAAAATTGGAAAATATGAATGAATGAATCACAAGTTGGGGGAAAAAATCACTGATGAAGCGTAGTGACTAAGGGCGTGGTCACACACTTGTCGGCATGAATTTATACCACGCCAGCAAAAGCGTACACCAAGGCTCAAATTTGAGTTTGAGAAAAAAGTATTTGATGTTAAAGTCTGACTCTTGTCCCATCTGTTGACATGGAGGAGGAGGCGCTTATGGCCATTACTGCAGGCAGGCAGTAGAGGGAGCTCCAACTGTTTTAGCTTCAGTTTTTGAAGCTGTCATGTTGTCCATCTTTATATACAGTCAGTGCAAAAACCAAAAACACAGATTCTTACATGATCTTTATCGTACAAAAGAAAACGATGTTGAAAATAAAATAATTTGTTTGGGATAAGTCACACATGTTCAGTAACAGGGCCAGGCTGTGAGCTGACAGAGTAGGGGGTTTCTGTTGCTGATCTATTTATAGTGCGACCCACTGGGCTTCAGTCGTGTCATCTGCATAATTAGTGAGAGTCAGTGTGTGAATGTGTGTGTGCAGGGTTTACGGGAAGTATGCTAAATTTAGGACTCGCTGTGGGTGGGAGAGATTAAAGTGAGGCGGGGGACCTGATTTATTTTTAATGTGAGATAGTCAGTGCAGACTTTATGTCCAAACTCGAAAGAGCTAAAGTGTTAAAACATAACAAAGTTCACAAGTAGAGTTAGGGTGCACTCACCCTAGGAATCCGTACCCTGCCCAATCACGTTTGACCCCTAAAGTCAAGTTTGTTTGACTAGTGTGAGTCGTCTGATCCGTTCTTCAGATCGGACTGAACACTTCCTTGGCCCTGGCACAGTTGAAGGAAGGAGGTCTGCTTTGGTACCGTACAGTTACTCATGCACAAGCACAAGCACGGGTACAAAATGTAAACATGACGTAAAATCGATCCCTGCCTCCATTATCGAGAAATCCCAATCATTGGGCGATCATTCTTCCGCACAGTACGGGACAACTTTTCCTCGTGTGAGTACGCACTAAGAGTTTCAAAGACGACACAGGGGTTCAACTTTTTCTCCAAGTAGTTGAGGGAATCGAGGTTCAGCACAGATATGTGCTTCAATAAAACAAAAAAGTCTTACAAAGTAAAGCCAAGCCAGCGAGCTAGTTATTAAGCCAACATGGAAATGGAATGGCCTTTATCAGCTAGCTAACATTGGTTAGCTTGTGTATGGTAAGACAAAGGTTTGGTTTAGTTAGCTTACAAAGAGGGTTACGGTAAATCAGAGATTGTATAAAACATGGACGTAGCGTCAGTGACTTTACTGAAGAAGCATTTTGAAGCCCGATGACGCTGCCTGCCATTTTGGAAATGCTGACTCGACCGAAACTCTTAGTCAGAATAGACACAGACACATTTAGTTAGCCTTAATAATAGCCTTGGTGTTCACTAATAAAGAGCTATCTATATCACATGAATTTTTTGAACCAGGCTGGTGAGCATGTAAGAGTATGAAGCTGCTTCATTACATGCACAGAGATCGCACAGGTACCTCACTGGTCACATGGTATGAATGTCATCACCCCTACCTGCTTGCTTGCTGTGAATTTTAGTATTTCCCGACTTCAACAGGAAGTTTCACTAGAGGGGCGGCTGGAATAGGTCTTGGTAAAGTCAGCGTGCAAAACTTGGCTGTTTGCATTCACATGTTCAGCTCACCCTGAGTTGTGTGCATGTTTGCAAACACTACGATACTTGTTACTTTTCAAATGAAGCTTTTACACAAGTTCATCATGCAGGTATCAGTCGTGGACTCGTGGAGCTTATTAGAAACATGCAGAGGCTTTTTAGGTCGGGTACAATCACTTCTATCTGAACCACTTCTCTTGCCCGCTTCCATCGCTGCAACACCTGTTGACCTGATAACTGCTCTCATATCTAGCAAACCGAGGGGCATCCAAAACGGCCGTGTGGAGGGGTGCCTTAAAAGCGCCTACCTTCTCTGGTCCAAACAAATCCAGAGCATTCAGGAGCAGAATCTAAAGTTAGAAGGAGGACATACTGGCTGCTGCATTGTTGTCAGAGAAGTTAGCACTTCAACATAGCATGTTTCCTTAATGATCAGAGAGTAAGATACCTTTATCATTCCACGATGATCAGAAACAGTCAAAAAAGTTGCACTTCTCCCCAAATCTTGTGACAAAAGTAAATGAAAATAATGTAGCCCAAGAGCATGTAATGTTAGTCAGAGCTTCGGTTAAATACAATTTTAAATTCAGTGTTTCTACAAAAACTTAAATGGAGACATCGTATCAGAGCAAGTTGATCTGTTTTCTGTTTAATTGTTCTTTACATGAAAAAAAGAGAGGTAGACCAGTTTGTCTAAGAGCCTTTTAATTCAGCATAAAAACAACAAAAGCCGGTTCACTTTTAAGAATAAAGTTGGGCTAAAAGCATCCTTTCCATTGCACATTGATTCTGCTCTTATTAGAGGCGTAAGCCAGAGAGACAGTGACAGTGTTACAGCGATAGTAAAAACAATTGAGATGAGATATAGAGCCTTCAGGGTTGAATATCAAATTGATGAAAGAAAAACAGATGAGGTTATCTGCTCGACACGTTCTTCATGCGTCTACATCAACCAGGGGATGATCAGATTGGCTTTGCACAGACGAATCCAAGGTTGTACCAACACTGGACATCATCAAAGGTCTTTCGTTCTGTACATTAAAAGAAAACACAAGAGTCTTTACACAAACATCACTACACACTAGGGCCAGACCGATATGAGATTTTTGGGGCCGATACTGATATTAGGAAGAGAAATAATCTGATACACTATGTCGGCCAATATCTTTCTTAGATCTATCTTCAATCTGTAGAGATGCATAGATATAGATACACACAAAAAAAAGACATATTATGAAGACAAGATGGTCACTCAACTGGAAAGTAACTGCACATGCATTACCACTTGTTACCCTAGAGAGTGATGATGCTTGTTGTAATCCATATAGAGCCCTCAGCTGGTGAAATAGAACTGCTAGTGTCTTACAATGATACTTAAATGAAATGATATATAACTGGTGAATAAATCTGGTAATAACGGCGTTTATCAGAGACTAAATTAACCGATGCTGAAAGTCACTTGATATGCTAATATCGGCAGATATTATCGGCTGGCCGACTTTATTGATGTCTCATAAGATGCAACAATATGCAACTTTTTAACCATGAAATCATTGTTTCAAAGTTGATCTAACAGCACAGTAACTTTCAACATGGAGAATAGCGTCTATCCCATGTCCACAGAGCGCCCGCTACCCTGCTTTTAGCACTAGTTAATACACCTGCTAGAGTAAAGAGTAAATGTTGGGCAGGCTTTCACACATTGGCAAGCTTCAGCAAAAAGCAGGCTGCAAATATGATGCCGAGCTGGCACATGGCAATACATTACACATGCTTTAAAATAGTACAGTGTCACTCAGAGACCTTTGGTGGGCGTCAAGGCTTACCAAACCAACTTCTGGCTGCATCTCCTATGACCTCCAGTTTTACAAAAACAACAACCTTATATATGCATTTTATATTTGTTTTTACCTCCCCAATTCATCTGTAAACAGTGCTGCTGATTAAGGTTGTTGTCAGTCCATCCTCCCCACCAGTTTAAGGAATTGAAACGTGAACCGTCAGTCCACAGCCAGACACCCTCCTTAACAAGAGAAACATATAAAAAGTAGACCTTAATTTACAACAGTATGGTTAAAAGAAAGATTCTATTTAGTGCATTATTGGGTAACCTGCAACATACCTCTTGTGCGTCTGAGCCTCCAAGCCATGTCTGTGGATACCTATGAGTGATCCCATGTATCAGTCCCTGAATAAATGCATATTCACTTAAGCTGTGCACTGATGCGAGGTTTCCACCTTGGGCCTGACAGTTTATCTGCAAAAATTAGAAAGACAGAAAAAATCTGATAGTATGAAACCAAACACAAATGAAAAATACATTACGTTCCAATAAATACCAAGACTGAATTTGGAAATTATCCTGAAGCCTTCCCATGAACCAATTGTATTTTAGATAGTACCCAGAAGTGGACATAGACTCCTGTTTCAAAAGGGAAGCAAGAAAGGAGTGTCTTAAACCTACATCTTTTCGAATGGCCAGCTGGAATGTGTTTAGAAATGACGACGGAGGGTTCTCAATGACCAAGCTACAGTATAAAGAGACTGGGGAGCATTCAGTGTTAAGGAGCTCTGTACTGGTTCCAAATCAATTATTACCTCAGCATTAGCCCAAGTCATTGCTTTTGAAACGTAGAGGAAACAACGATCGTCGTACTGAGTCCAACCACTGGGACAAACGCTTGATCTTTGGACAGTGTGACCGTCATCTGCAAACAAAGAACTGAATGTAGAAGGCACCAAAGTGAAACCTCATTTGTGCACCCAAGCTAGACAATGTTTGCATTTTTATAAGATCCTTTTCACTGAGAAACTAGATATAACACCAACTCACCATCTTCCATAGATGCTCCCACTGCCATTACATCAGGCTGTGCTTCTGCAACAGCTGGAGATTCAACACAGCAGTTGGTCACTCATTTCATCTGTACTTTACAGGCATGGTGTCTTTTATTTTAGACTTTCTTTAGACTGTTTTTGAAAAAAGGTTAAACACAAGAGTCAGCGACTTGCTTCTGTGCATCTGGATTGTCCCTCCTATCCCCTTTTACTATCCACTTTAGCTTAACCCCGGGGAAAACGTCATGAGGTTAATGACGTGGGTCTGGTGAAACTACAATGTTCTGAAAATGGACTACTAAAAGCGCATCTTAAAAAACTTGCCCCTGTGCCTTCTTACCGGTGGAATAATCCTAATTACCTAATTAATAAGGTTGGGATTGAAATCAAGCAATATAGGCTTCCAGGCTACAAGTAACAAAAGTGAAACAATCACCTTCCTGTCAGCTACATGCCTGATGTGTTCTTGGGCAAGACCCTTAACCCCAAGTTGCTCCAACTGCTTCGTTGGCGGCGTGTGAATGCGTCTGAATGGAATTTGTTACTTCTGATGGTCACTTTACATAGCAACCTCTGCCATCAGTTTATAAAAGTGTAGGTGTGACATGGGGTGTAAACGTGCATTGAGTAGTCAGAAGACTAGAAAAGTGCTTCACAAGTTCAAGTCCATTTACCATTTAACAAATACCATCTAGCATCAGAGTGTTTTATTCTGAAAATTAACTGGATTTAATGTTGTTTGGATGTGTCACTTCCTTTCCCACATGATTTGCTCTGTGGTAAATTGGTGCGCCATGCTCGGGCATTCGGCAAAAATAGAAGCCTTGCATAAACCTGCTGCAGAGGTCTCCAGACTGACAGATCTGAGAAGGATCTGAGATGAAGCTGAGACCTAGCACAGCAGAGCCAGTGAAATGGACATACTGACTAAAGTAAAAACATATCCGCTCTGCCGATGGACCGAACACCCATCTGGTGAAATTGGGTTAAGTTCTGACTCCCCAACAATCAAATTTAAAGGGAACTTAATACAGCTCCTCTTAACACAAGGTACAGAATGACTTATGAAACTGTATTGTCTGATTGAATCTAAGTTGTTGTTTTTTTGTTGTGGAAAAATAGGACACCAACTCACCTCGTCCTCATCATTCTTCAAGAAACAACAACTATGGAAGGAACTCAACTCACTAATGAACCAGATGTACAGTATATTCTGCTTTATAAAACTGTATTTCTCTGTTTGCTCAACAGAGCATTTGCACTGAGACAAAACGAAAATCTGAAGTCATTGTTTGTTCAAAAACAGGAAAAAACACAAACTCACCTTTTTGAATGGATGGTTCTTTTTGATCAGGCTCTACTTCTGGGACAGCTGCAGGGTTAAATACAGCATTTAACTGACATCTGCTGTTTCTTCATTACATGAACAAAACTTGCACGCTGATGCTCTATTCTTTTTAGGTCTTGATTTGTCACTCACCAGCAGCATTAGTCAGGGCCATCGTGGCACAGACAAGTAGCAACCCGGTCAGCATCTTCATGGCTGAGTTGATGCAGATACTTAAAGTGATGAATGGATTATGATGTCTTCTTTCTTCTCAGCTCTCTCTTGTAGCTTCAGCTTTCCTGTGTGGAGATGAAGAACAGGTCAGCTCTTATATACAGTTTCTTATCTGTTATGTAATTGTTTTTTATTTCCTCAATACCTTTATATAATTTATGGCATAAACAACTTTCGAGGCCGACCAAAGATCAAGCGACAAGGAAATAAAATTCTTATCATTGAGATGGGCTTAAACTAATAAATCAAGGCAGTGAGGCAACAAGTGACCTGCGAACGTGTACAGGATTAACTGGTCAGACGAGGTCCACATTTAATACCCTTCATATTAATGTAAGGCCTCATTATATGTTTACATGTTAGTATTTCTCCCACCGGTCACTTCGTCCTGTTTTTTTTTTCACATGAAGAGCTATCTCTCTCTTTCTGTCTCTCAGAAGTTGTTAAAAAATGATTGAAAGAATAATCCTCTAGTCTAAAGCACCAAAATCTAGAGTAAAGGCCTTGACACACCAAAGAGATAGTCGGCCTTGGGTCCAAGTTGGACTGTGGGTGAGCGATTGTCGTTCTATTTTTTGCGGTATGTCTGGCTCCGTTGCTACCCGTCTGCCTTTTTTCGGCAGATTCGACATGTAGAATCGGCGTTGGTGCAGTTGGTGAGAGGAATCACTCTGATTGGCTGTTCAGCTAAGTGAACAGAGGGATGGCAGAATAATTCTCAGAGACTGAAATTAATCTCTGGGGTTTATATCCATAAGATTCACATCTGTCTCTTTTGGGGGGCGTTAGGTTGACCGTCCTTTTTTGGGCCAATGGAGAAATTATTGAGTTTATGCCACGTGTGCTGGTTTTTAACTGAACTCTTTTATCTTCTTTTATTAATTACATGGATGAACAAAGGTCGAATGATAATCGTCATGTCGTTATCTTAATGATTGAAAGTTCCTTCTCTGGAAATTTGACAAAACTCAATGACATTTTCAAAGAGTTAGATAAGAGAGTTGTGAGTCAAAAGAAATGTTAGAACAAAGGAGTGTTGTTCATGATAGTTATTGATTAATGTTATGCCACAAGGAGCAGGATCAGCCTAACTTGGCCTTTAAAATGTTTGGTTTTTACCAGGAACTTTGGGGGGTAACAAAAGTTAAGAGGAATATTCTTAACTTTTAGGGTCTAATGGAGGAGTTATAACTGGATCCTAATAGAGATTTATCCAAGTGTTAGTGATTACAAGTAAAAATGCTGAAATTCTTATCCGACTGAATGCTTAAACTTCTCCATTTACTTTATAGTTCATAACACAACAGTTAGTTCAGACCAAGCAATCTGATTGGACGAGAGGGTGTCCATGAATGACGATTTAGGACAACAACATCACTTGGACTTTTCACAATAAGTGTGTCATCACAGATGCCTGCACTAATCTTAAACCAGGATACTAGTATTTATCATGTAAACAGAGCTGTGAATAACCCGGTTTCTCAGTGTGCATGTTAGTGCCATATCCCGAATATGATCATAATCGGGATACTTAAGTCCATTCAAACGCACTCAATATGTATCACTTTTGGAGTTCTGAATACTTCACATTTACAGCTGAGGAGACTCTTATTTCACTGGTTTCATGATCAAATTATGATGGTATAATATACTAAAATAATCTGTTTTACTGTGGACTCTTGCCTCAGTGGATAGCAGGTCTAATATCGATTAAGAAAGGAGGATCATAGGGGTTATAAATGAATGTTTGCTTTAAATTATTCTATATGATGTGATTTGTTTGACGATTTATTTATGCCTGTGTAATTTTAACGATTTGAACAATAACTTGGCTGGAAGAAATGTTCAGCAGGACCTGCTCCTACGGTACAAAAGCTTAAAGTGAAGTCTGATGAGAAGTGTTTCTTAATCTTTGTCAGCGTCTTGCAGGCGGATAGAGGTGGGGTCGGGGGGATGGTTACTCTCCCATTACTGTGATCGGCTCCAACCCCCCTGCAACCCCGAACAGGAAAAAGCGGTAAAGATAATGGGTGGATGAGACCTTTGCAATCTGGGAAATAAATTCTTTAGACCAAACAAAGACCATGGACCAGTTTGTTTTGATGCTTAAGACTTTTAATTGAGCACAGAAACAAAGAACTGTTAACTCTCCAGAATTAAGATTTTGCAAAAAGCATTCCTTCCACAACACATCGATCCTGCTCCTATTAGAGGCATAAAACCAGAGACAGTCCAGCTACTGTTTGAATTACTTGACGCTTCATTCCTTAAATAGCGTTACAGCTATAGTAAGAAAAATACAGAGCTATGAGATAAGATATAGAGCCTTCAGATTAAATATGAGACTGATGAGATGGAGTTCTTGACAGGCTCGTCAGCCAAGGCAGGATTCAAGTGTCTTTGCACAGACGAATGGGAGGTAGGAATAACACTGCAAATCATCCCAGCATTTTTGATCTGTAAATGTCAAAAACAAAAGATATTTCTTCTTATTCCGTACACCAACATCACTACACACATTACAAATACTGTTTCGGTGAATCCAAAGAAACTGTTAGTTACTGTCAAAACACAGATAATCTGTACTGTCAATTATGAAATGCTTATTTTAGTTTATTATGGAAATTGTTAAGTACTTTAGTATTATTATTGTTGTTGTCTGCCTCATGGAATAGTGCGATCACATCTGTATCACAGCTGTTTTAAGTTTAAAATAAGAACATAACATTTCCCATTGCTGTTGTTTCACTAAAAAGGACTGTGTGACCTTTATTGTGAGTCAGTCAACTTCATTGTAACCACACATGATGCTTACTAATCCGTTGCATCGACAGGCTAATCATAGTTTTCTTATTTTTTAAGAATTAGCAACTTTGCCCAATGATCCATTAGATGTCGCCGCTGAGCGCCGTTGTTAAAAAACAACTTTAAGTTAAACCAAAAGTTTTACTTGAAGCTAAAATGACATGTAGTTTGACTTACCACCAAAGTTCATCTGCAAACAGTGCTGATTGCCATATTGGTTGTTAGGCTCTCCTGGACACCAGTACCCAAAGTTATAATATGAACCATCACTCCACAGCCAAGTTCTCTCCTAGCCAAGAAACACACACGCACACACACACATGCGCACATACACAGGCACGCACGCACACACACACACGCACACGCACACGCACACACACACATACAAAAATGTCTTTATAACTTTGCTCTGTCACTTTGAGATGTAGATTCTCTGTAATCATTAAGATACCTGTTGTGCGTCTGAACCTCCAAGCCATGTTTTTGGATACATTCCAGTCTGCCTCACTATCATTCCCTGAATAAAGTAATACTCATCAAATCTGTGCACTGATGCAAGGTGTCCACCTCGAGCCTGACAATTCATCTGCAAAAATGAGGGACAAAAAAGTAGCACTGTGTGAAGGCCAATGACATTATAAAATAAGTAATACAAAGATGAAACATTTTGAAAAATATTCCAGTTAACAACATGTGCAAGCCAAATACAGAAGCTAAGCCACATTTTCAATACTCAGTAAGTGAACTGGCACTTTCCACACTTTGGTCCGTACCAGAACATGCAACCAGCTATCCTCCTGTTCACAACCCAAGTCGCTAAGGACTGAGCCATTGCCTCCCCTTTAAGCTTCCTGCAACCCTATTGTTGTCATCACAGAGGTTCAAATTCCTGAGAAAATTAAGTGTGCTGGTGTGTGGAAGACTCGTCTGAATGCTGCAAGTACTAAACTATGATCAACCTTAAGCCATGCAAAAATGCAGTGGTAGTACTAGTATGCTGGTATCTGTTGGGGCCCCAGTCAAAAATTAATTGGGGGCCACTCCAACCAGCATTCATCCCCTTCATGTCTACCAGTTCCGCTTACTCTTCTTCCTCTTTCTTTTTTCACTCCCAGATGGATAATTCCTCTTCATTTTCCTTTGGTGACTATTATCACTTTGGTGCATGCATGCCACGCTTAGCAGGGCAACGAGAGGTAGTGCTGTCATATGGGGCCCCCTTAGGGAGGTGTCCTACTGTCATTGCAAAATTTGCACATTTTGAGCCACGGCTGTGGTTTAAAGTTTTCGAGGATGAGGTTTGGGTAAAATGTTGCACATTCTTCCTTTAAGTTGGCAACAATACAACTTCTGGTTACATGATCAAAAAATAGGTAAGTGTTGAAATATTCTATTTTAAAACACTTTAATAGCAAATATTCACATTTTATGACCTTTAGACCTGCAATATTCTGATACAAGTTGTCATCTTTGCAGGACCAAAACTTCTTGACTAGTGTCAGGGGAAAAGATCATGTTATGGTTTTAATCAAAGGCTGCTTAGAAAAAGTGGAGGTAGAGTCTTGTTTCAAAGGGGAAGCCAAAAAGGAGTGATTTAAACCTGCATCTTTTTAAATGGCCAGCAGGAGGAGTCATAACTCTGTGTACTCTGACAGTCTTCCTTTCATTGGCCCTCATTTCCCCTTCAAGTAGTCTTCATACAGTGTGACCGGACCAAACATGCAAAGATTAACTAGAGAATGTGTTCAGAAATGACGACAGAGGGTTCTCAATGACCAAGCTACAGTATAAAGAGACTGGGGAGCATTCAGTGTTGAGGAGCTCTGTACTGGATCCAAATCAATAATTACCTCAGCATCAGCCCAAGTCATTGATGCTCCAACAAAGAGGAAACAACGACCGTAGTATTGAGCCCAACCACTGGGACAAACGCTTGATCTTTGGACAGT